GTTTGTTTTGCTTTGTTTTTTTGTTTGTTTGTTTGTTTGTTTAGACAGGGTTTCTCTGTATTGCTTTGGAGCCTGTCCTGGAACTTGCTCTGCAGACCAACCAGGCTGGCCATGAACTCACAGAGATCTGCCTACCTCTGATGGGATTAATGGGATTCAAGGGCTGGAGAGATGGCTCAAAGGTTAAAAGCACTGACTGCTCTTCCAGAGGTTCTGAGTTCAATTTCCAGCACCCACATGGTGGCTCACAACCATCCATTATGAGATCTGGTGCCCTCATCTGGTGTACAGATATACATGGAAGCAGAATGTTATATACATAATAAATAAATAAAATTTAAAGAAAAAAAGGCGTTTAAAGAATAAAAAGCTGAGCTGTACTTTTAAATGTGAAATAGCCTAATTTGACAACTCCAGGCACAGGGAAAGAGCGTTAAGGAACTGTTTAAATGTGAAATAGCCTAATTTGACAACTCCAGGCACAGGGAAAGAGCTTAGCTGTACAGAGACCAGCATAAACTAGTTAAAGAACTATTTATAATAATCTAATATATCTAGATTATTCTGGTTGTTGTTGTTGTGTGTGTGAACGTGTGTGTGTTCAACAAAATATACACTTAAACTAGTGAGTTTTGAGCCAGAGAGATAGTTCATTAAGCTTGCCATCAAACCTGATGAATTGAGCCAATCCCAGAATCCAAGTGATGGAAAGGGAGCAAGTTGTCCTCTGACCTCTACACATGCATCGTGACATACTCACACCCACAGACACATATAATAGTCAAACAATAATTTAAAAAGTGCACTGGTAACATTTACTGTATTGCATAAAATGTAGCAAACTCTCAAACAAAAATGAGGAAATATGGGAAACAAACCAAAAATTGTTCCAAACTGAGCAGAGAAACACAACATTAACCAAATCTGGTCTGTGAGACCAGTTCATAGCTGCCAGTACTTGTAACGATCTTTTTATCTATTGTTAAAGCCCTGGTTTCCTAGCAAAAATAATAACCAAAATTAAATTGTTAGCTGTACATTCAAGCAAATCACTTCCTTGAGATGAAAGGAATAAGGAAAGGCTCATACTTCCTTCCCAGATATAAAAAACAAAAGATTAATATTGAGTAATTTATAAAACGTATAACCATGCTACAGTTTCAAAAGCAGTTTTCAACTACCTGTTTTTACTTGTAAATGAAATATCTGTACAAAATATAGTTAGAAAAAATAAGACTGAAGATCCCTAAAAAAAAAAAAAACCTATATAAGCCTATGAAAGTAAATCAGTACTATACTATAATCCTTCATAGTTATTACATCAATGAAAACCGGCATTGATAATGACCATTGCCTCAGTCCATCTCCCAAGACATTATTGCTCAACGCCTGTTGGATGACTGGATGTTACCGGTGTGTGGCTTGTGGCTATGGGAGTGGTGGCAGTCGTGCTGTGATGCTGAAAGATGGATGTCAGGAGAAACCAACATTTGGAAGAAGCAACCTCTGGATGCTTCTACTCTCTTCAGAGTCAATTCTCAGGTTAGATCCCCTAAGTCCAACTGTGCATGTGTGGCTTTGGCAGTCTCTTGGGACAGTCTTCCCATTTCCTGGGATTACAAACATGCTTCTAGAGGCCTTTTATTCTCATCAATTCTCCCTTTTCCTCCTTATGAAATTCTGACAGTTTTACTCTGGCCGGTGTTGGACTTGCCCCTCAGACTTGGATCCTGCATCCCTCTCCGTCACTGATTCCCATCGCTTTCTTTTGTGAGTTCTCTTCTACCTCTTTATAGGTTATTCAGAAATCCACTGCATATGGAGGGTGCTGTGGAATAATCCTTTTGTACACTGTGAAGATCTGTTGCTCTCACTGGTTTAACAAAGAACCAACTGGCCAATAGCTAGGCAGGAAGAGGTTAGGCAGGAGAGCCAGACTGAGAGAGAGAATGCTGGGAAGAAAAAAGGCAAAGTTGCCAGCCAGATGCAGAGGAAGTAGGATGTGTAGAAAATGAGATAACAAGCCATGAGCCACATGGCAGCATGTAAATTAATAAGTATGGGTTAATTTAAGTTGTAAGAACTAGTTAGTAGTTTGTGCTGGAGAGGATGTGGTGAAAGGGAAACACTTCTCCACTTCTAGTGGGAGTGCCAACTTGTACAGCCACTTTGGAAATCAGTATGGCGACTCCTCAAGAAAATTGGAATCAGTCTACCACAAGATCCAGCAATTCCACTCCTAGGCATATACCCAAAAGAAGCACATTCATACAACAAGGACATCTGTTCAACAATGTTCATAGCAGCACTATTTGTAATAGCCAGAAACTGGAAGCAGCCTAGATGCCCCTCAACCGAAGAATGGATAAGAAAATGTGGTACATTTACACAATGGAGTACTACTCAGCAGAAAAGAACAATGGAATCTTGAAATTTGCAGGAAAATGGATGGAACTCGAAGAAACCATTCTGAGTGAGGTAACCCAATCACAAAAAGACAAACTTGGTATTTACTCACTCATATGTGGATTTTAGACATAGAGTAAGGGATTAGCAGCTTGCAATCCATACTGCCAGAGAAGCTAGTAAACAAGGAGGACCCTAAAGGAGACAAACTTTGTCCCCTGGAGAAGGGGAAAGGGTCACCATCCCCTGAGCAAATTGAGAGCATGGGAAGAAGGGGAGGGAGCTACGAGAATGAGAAGGGAAGAGGAGGGATGCAGAGGTCATAAGGGAGCAGAAAGGTTGAGTCAGGTATAGATTAGAAGAAAGGATATGTGATAGGTAGGTTTTTAGTTGTGGGGGTGGAAGGGGAGGAAGGGAGGGAGAGGGGAACTGGGATTGTCATGTAATTCAATCTTGTTTGTAATTCAAATAAAAAATTAAAAAAAGAGCTAGTTAGTAACATGTGTAAGCTATTGACCAAGCATTTATAATTAACAAGTCTCTGTGTGGTTATTTGGGAGCCAGCGGTCCCCACAAAATAAAATACCTACAGGAGGCCGTGTGTGTCTATGTGCCAGCACTTCCACAACACGGTGTTGCATCCATATGACAACTTGTGGGAGTCAGCTCTCTCCTTCCACCATGAGGAATGGAACTCAGATCAGTTTGACAGCAAGTGCCTTTCCCTGCTGAGCTATCTTGTAGGCACAGGATCCATGTCAATTGCAGGCAGTGGGGGGCTGAGGCCTGGCATACACAGCATTAAATTTCCTTATCTTTTTTTAAAAGATAAGTTATCTTTTTTTAAAGATTATTTATTATGTATAGTGTTCTGCCTGCATATGTGGCTGCACACCAAAAGAGAGCACTAGATCTCATTACACATGGTTGTGAACCACCATGTGGTTGCTAGGATTTGACTTCAGGACCTCAGCCAGTGCTCTTAACCTTCAGAGATGGCTCAGGCCATCTCTCCAGCTTGAGATGGGATGTCCTTTTGTACACTGTGAATATATATTGTTCCCATTGGTTGATAATTAAAGCTGCTTTGGCCTATGGAAAGACAGAATATAGCTAGGTGGGAAATCTAAACAGATATACAGGAGAAGAGAGAGGTCGAGAGGTATTCAAGCCAACTGCCCAAGAAAAGAGATGTCAGCAGCCTAAGGAGAAAGATTCCAGAACAAAAGTAACGCCAAGGTCATGTGGCAATACACAGATTAGTAGAAATGGGTTAATTTATAAGAGAGCTAGCCAGTCATAAACCTGAGCCATCAGCCAAGCAATTCTATTTAATATTAACCTCTGAGTGGTTATTTCATAAGCAGGTACGGGGGACTGATGGGTGAGACAAAACAGGAAAACATTCAGCAACACAAGCCTCCTTAGCATTATTTTTAATTTCTGCTTGTAGGGACTGGTCTTTTATGTCTATGGATATAAGCTCTTAGCTCCATATTTTCCCTTCTTAATGTTAGGGGTTTTTTGGTGTTTTTTGGTGTTATTGTTTGTTTTTTCTGAGGCAGGGTTTCTCTGTATTGCTTTGGAGGTTGTCCTGGCACTCGCTCTGCAGACCAGGCTGGCCTCAAATTCACAGAGATCCTCCTGTCTCTGCCTCCCGAGTGCTGGGATTAAAGGGGTGCACCATCACTGCCCAGCTAACTGCTGAGTTTCTTAAGTTAGGTTTTTTTTTTTTCTTTCTTTCAATGCAGTGAGCAAAGTGATCTAATGTCTTCTTGGCATAATTACTGAATGCTTCCAAAATACAATTCAGGGGCCAAAACTAAACAGGCCTCTGAGAGGAAGTGGGGAGAACAAGTTATCAACATTAAAGTAAGCAAAGGATGAGTTTGAATGGCTGGCACTTTTGTTCACAATCACCAGCACCTTTAATTTAAGACTTTTCTCTGCCTATCTGTTTCTAGGTTTCATGAAGTAATCTGAAAAGAAGGCAATCGTTACTGATACTTCTGGGTGAGCATGGCATAAAACAGGAAAACGGTGGCTTATCTTTTTCCAAAGACAAGTGGGATTAGAGTTCTTATAAAGCCACAGAACTCTATTTTTGTCGACTGAGTCCCTGACATGCACACACACACAGGAGTATCCCATCCTTAGTTTTGTCTAAGATTTCTGAATTTTTGTCCCTTTCCCTAAAGTATAGGAAGCAGTGCTCGCTTTCCAAAACAGACTCATCTCCTTGGCCTTGAGGACCAGACTTTCCAACTGCTTGAAATAGTTGACTGTTATCTTCATTAGGGTTTCTACTGCTGCAACAAAACACCATGACCAGAAAGCAAGTTGGGGAGAAAAGGGAGTTTTTGGCTTCCACCTCCATATCACTGTTTATTTTTGAAGGAAATAAAGGATAGGAACTCAAACATGGCAGGATTCCGGAGACTGGAGCTGAGGCCGAGGCCATTGAGGGGTGCTGCTTCCTGGCTTGTTCCTCATGGCTTGCTCAGCCTGCTTCCTTATAGAACCCAGGACAACCAACCCTCCCCCGTCAATCACTAATTAAGAAAATGCCTTACAATTGGATCTTATGGGGACATTTTCTCAATTGAGGTTCCCTCCTTCCAGATAACTCTAAGTTGTGTGTCAAATTGAGGTAAGATTACCCAGCACAGCTGTCGACTATCTTTTAATGGTTCTTCCTCCTCCAACAATATTGTATTTCTCAAGACAGCAGCGACTTTAGAACTTTTTCCTCTTGCTTTCATGTAATTTTTTTAAAAAAAGATTTGCTTATTATGTATACAGTGCTCTCTGCGTACACATATGTCTGCAGGCCATAAGAGGGCACCAGATCTATTATAGATGGCTGTGATGTGTTTGCTGGGAATTGAGCTCGGGGCCTTTCCAGCCCTTGACCACTGGTTTCCACCAGATACCTAGATATGCATTTGGCTCGGTTGCAAACGGCCCTCAGAGTCTGAGGCCAGCCCCTCTATGGCCTGCTCCTCCACTCCAAACACTAACGCAGAGTCCATCCTTTGGATGGTTCCATCACGCACAGAATCTTGAAGAACTTTCTGCACACTAGCCCCAGACGGGTCTTAATCCAGCTTCCCGTTGGCTGACAGGCGTCAAAACCGCGCCGCACGGCGTCCAGGTTGTTATTCTCAGAACTTCCGTTTCCGCACGTCTTCCTGAGGTGGGACCACGTCCCTGGTCGTCTGGAAAACCATCCGTACCCGGATTCCGGTTCACCCATCCCGGTTCCGCTCGGTCGGACCGAGCGGCTGAGAGTGGGCGGGCGAGCACCGCTCGGAGCAAATCCCAAGGCTCTCGCTTCGCGAGACTTGACAGACCCGTGGGAAGCTACGCCCACTCAGGTCTCGCGAGACTCGGAGAAGGGCTCCCGAACTGGTCGGTGGGTGGGCGGACGGGAGCCTGGAAGATGGCGGCGCAGGCGGTGACGCTGCTGAGGGAGGTGGCCCGGCTGGAGGCGCCGCTGGAGGAGCTGCGTGCGCTGCAGTCCGTGGTGCACGCTGTGCCGCTCCACGAGCTTCGCGAGCAGGCGGCGGAGCTGCGCCTCGGCCCGCTCTTCTCCTTGCTTAACGAGAACAATCGGTGAGAAGCCCGCGCGCCGCTGGGGAGACGGGTGGGAAGGCGTGGCTCCCCGGCTCTTGGGAGAAAAGTGAAGGTTGTCCCGCTGGAAAAACCCCTCCACTGTGTATTGGCCCGGGCTCGGCGGTTGTCCTCTTCAGAGGGGATCTTATGCATTGGTGCCCTTTAATCTCAGCATCCGGTGTATGGATGCTTGTGTACCTGTATTAGTGTTCTATGTATAGAGGGGCAGTCAGAGCAGATTCGTGAGACAGCAGAAAACTAGAAACAACCAAATCAAGGACATAAATTCTTGCTGTGTAACATTGCACAGCTATTTAAAATTTGAATTGTGTGTGTGTGGATATGGAAACGTGGATTAAAAAGGGCGAATTGCAAAGCTTACGATCCGGATACGTGTAATTTAATCCATTATATAACCCCTACAGGCAAGAGTTAACTGCCTAACCCAGGATTATCTGTAGAAACTATTAATATGGAAACTGGAGTTAAAATGTTAGGGTAGCAACCTTTGATTTAACACGCACCTGTAGTATTAAGTTAAAAACATCTTGTATTTGATAACTTGATCATTTAATGGATTTTTTTTAATGTGAGCCAGAATTTAAAAGTGATTTTTTTAATTTGAAAAGATCGTGACCTCTTTGATCAACACTGAATGCTGTCAGGCGTTTTACCTCTCTTATCCTCTCTCTCTTCAATATAAACTCTCATTCTCCTCCTCTTGCTACATTTGTTGAGTTGGTTTTAACAGTCATTACGGTAATGGTTATTTCCCTCTCTGACCAGTCCTCACCCTGCAACCAGGGTTAGTGTCTCAGGTCAGCTGGCGTGGCTTGTCCATGGTTACCCTTGCTAACAGTGTGAAGTCATGACTACATAGCTTGGCATTTGGGCCCTTCCTGGTATATTTCCAGTCTAATCCTTATCATTTACGCAGCTTGAATTTGTCTGTTCCCCCTGTCATGTAACAGCATTAGTGTTCCTCGAGCATGACTTGCACTTTCTTAAAGTCGAGCTTATCAAAGCTTCCAGCTGAATGCCCTCTTCTCGGTTCATATTCTGCAAAGGCCCAGCGGAAATGCCATCCCTCCATCTGCAAGTGACTATTCCTCAGACGTCTTAGTGGATACTGTCATTGTCTGTGTTTGTGATTCTGGACTCTTTGGTTCCTTTGTGGTAGTTCCGTGTCCATCTTTGTGGTTTTGAAAGATCTCTAAGGACAGGAACCATATTTCATGTCTGCATCTCCTGAAGCACTGTACATAAAATAGATGCCGAATACAAGATGAGGCTTGTGGCCTTTAACTCTGGTCCCTGGCCCAGGTTTTGTATTTTTGAGATAGGCTCTTGCTATGTAGAGGAGTATGTGTAGCTCAGGCTAACTCGCAGGGTGCACATCACTCCTCGCCAGCTTTTCATGTTGGAAGTGAAAAACTGAAAACTCATAGTGTGGACTGGCCCAGGCACTGAAGTTGAGTAGTTTGCTACTTGATGTACTGTGTCAGTTGCAGTTTGTGGGAGTGGCTCTTCTCTGGAAAACTTGTGGCCATCTCCACATTACATTGCTGTCGTCTTGGCTAGACCACTTAAGAGAGTATGCTGAGATTGGGATTTTGTTGATGGAGATCTGTGATCTTGACACTTTTTTGGAGGGAAGTAATTATCACCTCAGATTACTGATACACACCATAGAAGTCAAACAAGAATGATTCTAGCTTACCACCTCTAGCTTGTGTGGCAGCTAAAGTTCACATTGGACCTGCAATTTATATACAATGCAAGTTTAACCCATCACTGCTTTTAAAAATTCTTTTCATGAGAGACAAGGATTGCGTGGGGGGGGCGGTGGGAAGACACCTTCAGGGAGTCCATTCTCACCTTCCACCTGCTGAGCGTGACTTGTGTTTTTTTCTGCCGCTGCCCTATCCTACTCCAGGCCATTGGCTCTCAACCTTCCTAACGCTGCAGCCCTTTAATACAGTTCTTTATGCTGTGGCGACCCCAACCATAAATTACTTTTGTTGCTTCTTCATAACTGTAATTATGCTACTGCTGTGAATCATAATGTAACTATCTCTGTTTTCCAATGGTGCAGTTTTCCAAGGGGTTGAGAACCTCTGCTCCAGGCTAGCTGGCCCATGAGCATCCTTCCGATTCCCTGTCGGGTGCATACTACTGTAACATTCAACTTTTTCCATGGGTTCTGCAAGTCATCAGGCTTTGCATAGCAAGTCTTTTCACTGAGCCAGCCAGCTTATGGCAGTTCTGGGAATCTGAACTCAGGTCCTCACTGTAAGATATGGCAAGTGTTTACCCACTGAGCCATTGCTCCAGCCCAGGTGTGTTTGTTTTTAAAGCTTTTGATTTTTATTCTTGTCCCAAATAGGAAAGTTAGGCCCGTTTAATTCTGTACTGACACCAGACATAGGTTAGCCCATTTATTTATATTGCCTATTAAAACAGAAGTAAATTATTCTTGGAATAAGATCTGTACCTATAGTGGGTAGTCAACAAATATGGATTGGTTTGCCTTTCTAGTAGTTTTCATATATACCTCTTCTCCATCTTGCCTACTGCTTGTCTGGTTCACTTCTTCATCACCTATAATCTCTGATATGCTGCAGAGTGGCTCTCTCTCTTCCTTCATGTATTCATTTGTTCTTTCTGCTTTCTTGGCATTAGGGACTGGACCTAGGATTTGTACATGCTAAGCTTGTGTTCTACCACTGAGTTACATCTCCAGCCCCCAAAAGATTTCTGTAAGCTAAATGTCTTTATGTTAGTTAGTTTTCTGAATAAAGCCACTGGGTCACTTGGCATTGCTTCTCTGGAAAAAGCCTCCACTTCAAGGATGGCGTAAGAGACTCTCAGCATCTGGCTGGCGTCTGTGCGGTGTTTAGTTTTGTTTCTTTGCCGTTCATCTCACCCGTTCACCGTCTCTCTACCTCTTCCCATACTGACCCCAGTCATAACATGCTCCATGAGGTTTCTCTGACGTTTTAATGCAGTAGCTTATTTCTCTCTTTTCTTGTATGCTGCTACCTCCTCTGCTTGCAACACCTGTCTTAATCATAGTCATTTATTCCCCCTTTTTTTTTTCCCATAAAACTTAGTTCAGCATCACTGCCCCGGAAGCCTTATCCATACCTTACAAATTTATCTTTAATCTCCCACAGCTTGTAGCATTCATCTGTAATTTGTCTATCTTTGTGTGTGTGTGTCTTGTATTAAAGTGAGCTCTCTGAAGCCAGATAGTATGCCTCGTTGGTGTCCGTGGCCCCAGCACAGGCATCACAGACAGTGGGTACATATTGAATATCTAGTGTGTGACTAGACACTACTAGTTTGGAGAAAATCTTCAGGAAGAAACTGTGATAGAGCCAAGTTTGAGGTGTTAAGTGCTTGTTTGCAGTCTGGCATGATGTGAATAAGTTCTGGTGTCTCCTTTAGGGAACAGACTGCTTTGTGTGTGTCCATCCTGGAGAGGTTGCTCCAAGCTGTGGGACCGGTTCATGTGGCCAGGAACCTCAGGGTTGACCTGCAGAGGGGACTGACTCACCCAGATGACTCTGTCAAAACCCTCACTCTGTCCCAGGTATGTAATCTTAGTAGTAAATGCAAGAAGCAGCCTAGTGGTTCTCTTGTCAGCTGTTCATTGAAGTTTTCCAGCATGCCAGGCATTAACAAAACAGACCTGTTGTTTTTTTCTTTAAGGAGTGCCTACTTTGAAGAAAATGATTTTGGGGTGTTTAAAGATTGCCTTGTTACATTCTATTGTTTGGAAGAAGCATGAACTAAGTGTGACGTTCATTAGCCGGCGTTAAGAATAGTAACTCCCATCCTGGCGTAGCATTTATGTGACGTGCTGCTGGGGTCACGCCAGAACGTTAGGCACCTCAGCTGGTTACCCAGTAGACAGTCTGCAGCCTTCCCTTTGTGTTCAGCCGGGGTGGTGTTTGTTCCTTGCCCATGTGTGTATGCCAGAGGATAGCAGATGCTTACCCCATCTTCATTTAATTTTCTTCTGCCCTAGAATTGAAAATTGCATTCCTATTTTATATTGCTTAATTTGAAAATTAAGCTCAAAGAAAGTAATTTGTCCAAGATTTGTGCAACTAAAATTACCCTATTAGGATTTATATTGTTTTCATTGACCTGTCCCCACTCTTTACCTACTCTTTACTGTTCCTTTTCATTTAAAAGTGTGACCACACCCTATGCTTTAGTGAATATGGATCATTGTGAATTTGTAGTAACTTGTGTAATAGCTGTAATGACTACTTGTAAAATAATTATACACTAGAAAAAGTTCAAATATCCTGTGTTCACGTGTTCTCCTTGGGAAGAGTCCCTCTCTGCTGGCTTGTTTTGTTGTTGTTTTGTTTTGTTTTTCTTTCAGATTGGAAGAATTGTTGAAAATTCTGAAGCTGTTACTGAGATTCTGAATAACACTGAACTATTAAAACAGATTGTTTATTGCATTGGTGGAGAGAATTTATCTGTTGCCAAAGCGGTGAGTTCTCTAGAACTCTCAGCCAACTGTGCAGAGGCACTGTGTCCTAAAGTCGGTAGAGAAGGTTTCGTGGATGATTTGTACGATTAAGGTAGAATCGAGTCTGCAGCCTTGTGTAAATGATATCAAATACATAGCAGTGAGTTCCTAAGACACAGGTCTACTTGGGCTGTCAGACTTACATTTGGTTGCTTAGTGTTTTCCAGTTATAAATAACAGTAGCAGCCAGGCGGTGGTGGCATACACCTTTAATCCCAGCACTTGGGAGGCAGAGGCAGGCGGATCTCTGTGAGTTCGAGGCCAGCCTCGAGTTCCAGGACAGGCCCCAGAGCTACACAGAGAAACCCTGTCTCAAAAAAATAAATAAATAAATAAATGAATGAATGAATGGCAGTAGCTAAAATGTTAATACCTGTTAGATTAGGGTATTTTATATACTAATTTTCATATCAGGCTTAGGAAGTAGGTGTAAATATTCTGTGCTTTTCTGACAATTATTTTCTTTCTGTATATAAGGCTATCAAATCCCTGTCAAGAATATCACTAACCCAAGCTGGACTGGAAGCTTTATTTGAAAGTAATTTGCTGGATGATTTGAAAAATGTAATGAAAACAAATGACATCGTTCGATACAGGGTATATGAGGTAAAACTAAAAGCACACTTTCTGATGCTTTCAAAACAACGTAGTACATGTACAAAGGAAGACAAAATGGTTCACTTGCACACATTTATTGATAGTCTGTGTTAAATCCTGTATTACATGGTGCTCATAATACCTAGATGCATTCGAATCCTGATAAGGGGGCAGTCACAAACATACTTAGGGTGTGGTATAAGGGTCACTCTTGACAGGACACCATTGAAAAGATGTTAGTACTGGTAGTGGGAAGGTATGGCTCTTCTTTCCATCTGTTTTCTGTTGAATACTGCTAAAAACCTCACGCTGTCATTAATTCCTTTTGTGTGTTTGCACTTGCTTAGATGTAAGCATGTGGAGGCCAGAGGTCAGTCTGCATCATTCCTCAGGTCTGTCTTGTTCTTTGAGATGGGGTCTCTGGGCCTGGAATCCACTGATTAGGCTAAGCTGCCTGGCTGGTGAGCTCCAGGGACCCACCTGTCTTTGTCCAGCATTAAAATCACAATTGCATGCCACTGCACCTGGTATTTTTAACATGGGTCCTCATGCTCTAAGCACTTTAGCCCCTGCATCATTAATATAGTAAATGCTGTATGTTGTTAATCTTACCATTGAAGAATATTTGACCTAAGTCCACACACCTAAGTAAGTAGCATATCTAAAATGAAGCCGTGTGTAATTTAATTCCCTCACTACATGTAATCGATTCCTTCCTGTGAGCTTTGGTGTTCCTTTGTCTGTTTCTTCTGCTTCCTGCCTCATTATTCCTTACTTGACTTCATTGTTGATTGCAAAGTCCTAACCCCTGCTTTCACATTTACTCTATACTCAAGTGTTGGGGAGTACTATTTTAAGGTGTGTGACTTTTGTATATGTTGCATTTGTTTAACTTGGTGAAGCTGTGATTCTTTCCCTGTCTAAAACACCGGATGGTCTAATAAAGAGCTGAATGGCCAGTAGTGAAGCAGGAACAAGGATAGGCAGGGCTGGCAGGCAGAGAAAATAAATAGAAGGAGAAATAAAGAAGAGGAATGAGCAAGAAGAGAACAGGAGAGGAGGATGTCGGGTGCCAGCCACCCAGCCAGCCCCAGAGTAAGAAGGAAAGTAAGATATACAGAAGTAAGAAAGATAAAAACCCAGATGGAAAGGTAGACAGGCTAATTTAAAGATAAGAAAACCTTGTTAGAAATAAGCCAAGCTAAGGCCAGGCACTCATAACTAAGAATAAGCCTATGTGTGATATACTTGGTAGCTGGGTGGTGGGCTCCCCCCAAAGCCAAAAGAACAAAAAACAAACACAACACTCAGGCAAATTTATTCTCATGATTTCAGTTTCCATTTCCACCTATGTGATAAGACTTTGGTACATAAACTTCTAACCCACACCTCTTCTGAGTTAAGATTCAACCTTAATGCAGCTGCTTGCTGACTGTTACCCCCTCACATTCATACTGGGACTGAAGTCCTGGCCTGTGCTGGACAGTGGTTCTTTGTTGAGTCTGGACCTTGAGCTCACTCTTCACAAAGGGTTGTTCTCCTGTCATACCTCCCATCACATCTGTGTCTTTCCTCACTGGTATAGGTGCCACCACCCTAGACCAACCTACCAATATAACTTTCTGCACTTGCATTTGCATCCAAATGAATTTCCCTTCTTTTTCTCATCCCGAGTTTCTCTTAAGTACAATGGAGTATTGTTTTCCCCAAATATATATATTTTAACTAATACACTAAATGGTATTTATTTGTGGTGTCCAGCATGATGTTTGTAGCATATAGAAGAATGATCTTTAGGCCAGTCAAATGGCTCGGTGAGTAAAGTCACTTGCTGCCAAGCCTGATGACTTGAATTTGGTCCTCAGAATTCTTTTTTTTTTAATTAATTAATTAATTTGTTATGTATACAGTTATCTGTATGCATGCTTGCACACCAGAAGAGGGCACCAGATCTCATTATAGATGGTTGTGAGCCACCATGTGGTTGCTGGGAATTGAACTCCGGTCCTCTGGAAGAGCAGTCAGTGCTCTTAACCTCTGAGCCATCTCTCCCACCCCCAGTCCTCAGAATTCTTATGGCAGAAGGAGAGAACCAACTCTCACAAGTTGCCTTCTGGTCTCCACCTCTCCTCATACACACATACTCCTCTTCACAAAATAAATAACTAAATAAAGATGTAAAAAACAAATTCCTGATTTACCACTTCTCTGCTTAAACCCTTTCAGTATCCTTTGCCTTTCATTAACCTTTAGGACATGCTTGTCAAATGAAGATGTGACAGATACATATTGTTGTTTGTTTTGTTTTGTGCTGCTTAGATACAGGCCTTATACATAGTAGACAAGTGCTCTCTTACTGACGTGCGTGCGTGCGTGTTTGTTTGTTTAGAAAGACTCATCTTTATGTTTGTTGATGATGCCCTGGTTAATAGGTTTCTTGGTGGAATTACACATATACCTAGATGCAGTGGTTTGTTTATGTTCAGTGAAGTTTTCCTAGAAGCATCATGAATTGTTAAGAACTCAATTACAGCTGGGTAGTGGTGGTATGCACCTTTAATCCCAGCACTCAGGGGGCAGAGGCAGGTGGAACTCATTGAGTTTAAGGTCAGCCTGGTCTACAAAGTGAGTTCCAGGAGAGCCAGGGCTGTTATACAGAGAAATCCTGTCTCAAAAACGAGAGAGACAGAAAGGGAAGGAGAGAGAGAACGCTCTATTACAAGTTAGTGCATAGTTCTGCATTTAACTTAAAATGAGATCGAGCAGATTTGGGATGGTTCTGACCTTTTTTTCTCTGTTCTTTCAGCTAATCATAGAGATTTCTTCTGTGTCGTTAGAATCTTTAAACTACTGTACCACAAGTGGACTGGTGACTCAGCTCCTGAGAGAGCTGACGGGTGAGGACGTGCTGGTCAGGTGTGTGGACTCAGACTTCTTAGAGATAAATGCCTTGTTTGGAATGTCAGGAAGCAACTCTGGGACTTCGTGTGGCCTGTGCTATTGGAGACTGTACAAAGTTTGAAGACTCAGGACTGCTCTTTATCTTCAGGAAGCATTTTAGGAAATCACACATTATATCGTGACATATTGTGCTTGGCAAAGCCCTGCAAGTAGTTTTAGCTATTTCCATATGACCATATCCTCTGTCCCTGGGCAAGTGTGCTCTTTGCTTAGTATGTTACAGCTCTGTTACAGAAATAGTAGTGGGCCTCCAGTCAGAAGGTCAGGCCTCAGTTTTGAACTCCACTGTAACAAGTGATTCCATATTAGTTAGGAAAGTAGTGTTGCTATTGTGTCCTCATCTGAAAATGAAGCCAGGACATGGGCCTTTCAGATTTAGTGAGGAAAATTAAAATATAACCAGTGTGAAAACAGTTTTAAAATGCCCTTCATTTTTATCCTTTTTTTATTTTAGAGCCACCTGTATAGAAATGGTGACATCACTAGCATATACCCACCATGGACGACAATACCTTGCTCAGGAAGGAGTCATTGACCAGATATCTAACATAATTGTTGGAGCAGATTCAGACCCTTTCTCTGGCTTCTATTTGCCAGGTGAGAGCTGAGTTACATGGGCTTCTGAAGGGCAGGGATCACCCTTCTTAGGGCTGCTTCCTGTACAGGACATCCACAGCGTCAGTGGGACGATGGGGGGATGACAGTCACCCTCTAGTGACTCAGTGAACCCACGTCCATCAGTAGAATACACCAGATTACTAAGTAAAGGATGAAAACATACCAGCAGATACCAAAAATGCATCTGATAAAAATTCAACATCCTTTTATGACAACTTGATTAACTAGTGTAAAAGAAGAAATGCAGGGCTGGAGAGATGGCTCAGCAGTTAAGAGCACTGACTGCTTTTCCAGAGGTCCTGAGTTCAATTCCCAGCACCCACATGGTGGCTCACAACCACTTATGAGATCTGGTGTGCTCTTTTGACCTTCAGGGATGCATGAGGAGGAACTATACATAATAAAGAAGAAGAAAAAGAAGAAGAAAAAGAAGAAGAAAAGAAGAAGAAAAAGAAGAAGAAAAAGAAGAAGAAAAGAAGAAGAAAAAGAAGAAGAAAAAGAAGAAGAAAAGAAGAAGAAAAAGAAGAAGAAAAAGAAGAAGAAAAGAAGAAGAAGAAGAAGAAGAAGAAGAAGAAGAAAAGAAGAAGAAAAAGAAGAAGAAAAAGAAGAAGAAAAGAAGAAGAAAAAGAAATGTATTTTAATACAGTACAGGCCACGAGTGACAAATCTGTAGCTGATGATGTGTTCAAGTGTGAGAAGTTGAAAGCCTTTCCTTTAAGATCAGGAGCAGTGGTCCCTCTCTTACTACTTCTGTTCGGTGTAGTATAGGAAATCCTAGACATCTGAAAAAAGAAAACTTGGTGATTAAAACATCTTACTCCTGTAAAGACACACAGACCAACAGGACAGAATGGAGCGCTCAGCTTAAATTTATTTAAGCTCATGTATTTACAGCCCATGCCCAGAACATACAGTGGAAAGTACATTATTTTTGATAAATGATGCTAAAAGACAAAACTGGATATTTAAGTGAAGAATGAAACTAGACCTTCATCTCACATCCTAAAACTCAGCACAGTGTAATTAAGGACTACATTGTAAGACATAAAACTGAGCTGGTACAAGAGAATGTAGTAGGAAAAGTCTTGGACTTCGGTCTAGGCCAAGAAGTTTTTGTATATGCTTCCTAAAGCACAGACAACAGAAGGAAAAATCAACAAATGTTATTGTATCAAACCGAAAGGCATCTGTTCAGACAAGCAAACAATCACCAGAGTGAAGGATTAGAAGAATATTTGCAAACTGTACCTAGGAATCAGTGTCCAGAATATAAGGAGTGCAAACAACCCAACTAAAACTCAGCAAAGGCTCAGGAGGCAGAGGCAAGCTGATCTCTGTGAGTTCGAGGCCAGCCTGGTCTGCAGAGTGAGTTCCAGGACAGCCTGCAAAGTAATACAGAGAAACCCTGTCTCAAAAAAACAAAAAAATCAGCAAAGGGCTTGGGTGGGTGGGGTGAGGGGGGGTGGAGTTGAGGCCAGCTTGATCTACAGAGCAAATTTCAGGACAGGCTCCAAAAAGCTACACAGGGAAATCCTGACTCAAAAAAACAAAAATCAGTGAAGATCAACATTACTTGAAAGAATCCAATGTGCCCAGTATGTATATGGAAAGATGTTCAGCAGTGCTACTCATCAGGAACAAATTTAAACCACTGGGAAGAGTCACTGCATCCAAAAAGCCAAAAGGCGAGAGGTGATGACGTGGAACAGAGAGACCCTTGGACCTTGTAGATGGGAATGTAAATTAGTGCAGTCGTGGGAACTGGAAGGTCTTCAGGATAGAAGTCCATTTGTGTGCCTTTTGGAAAGGAAACGAGTGTGCTGAAGCCAACCGTGTTCCTGTACTCATTGCAGCATTTCAGTGGGCACGATGCTATCTCCCTAAACACCTAACAGTGGGTGTGCAAACACTGTGGACAGTATATACAGTAGAATGCTATGCAGCCTCAAAAATAAAGATCTGCCATTTGCACACTAGTTGAGCCTGAAGAATGACATACATACTAGGTGATCTTACATGTATAATCTGGAAAAGTTAAACTCAGGGATAGGTTAGTGTTTACAGGAGGTACTAGGGCATATTTGCATAGCTGTTAGAACATTCAAAATACCAGGAACAAGTATAAGGTGATGACTGTTAACAATGTATTCTGCCCTTAAATTTTGCTAAGAATAGATTTTAAGTATTTTCACCACAAACACAAAAAATTTAAGAAAATACATATGAGCTGGGTGTTGGTGGCGCATGCCTTTAATCCCAGCACTTGGGAGGCAGAGGCAGATGGATCTCTGTGAGTTCGAGGCCAGCCTGGTCTCCAGAGTGAGTGCCAGGATAGGCTCCAAAGCTACACAGAAACCCTGACTCAAAAAACCAAAAAAGGAAAAAGAAAAAAAGGAAAAAAAGAAAATACATGTTAGTTTGCTTAATGTGTCCATTGTACAGTGCAAATAGATTTCCAGATGTGATATAGTAATAGCTATGTACAGTTTTTTGTTAGTTTAAAAAGTTGATTTTAAAAAGAAAGGTGTAGGCAGTAGTGGCACATGCCAGCTCTCGGGATGTTAACACAAATTAATAAAAGACCCAGAGACTAATAATGAGGTTCGGCTTCCAGCTGAAGATCAGAAAAGGAAAGCAGCTGGGTAATAACTCTCACCTCCAGCTCAGGCTGAAAGGGCTGATCCATGCACAAGCTCTCACCAAGCCTCAGACTGTAACCTCTCCTCAGTGTGGCTGGAGAATGAATGTCTCCTATTGAATGCTTGCTCCTGTCTTTTATACCCCTTTAGTGCTGGGATTAAAGGTGTGAGCTATAATTCTCTTTTAGACTGATTCAATCTTGTGTGCATCTGGATGGCCTTGGACTCACAGAGATCCATCTGTCTCTTAATCCTGAGTCCCAGGATTAAAGGTGTGTACCACCACCTCCTAGCTTCTGGCGGCTGGGATTAAAGTTGTGTGCCTGGCTTCTATGGCTTGGGGCTGACTTTGTTTTCTGAATCCTCAGGCAAACTTTAATAAATCATAAATAATATATCACTACAAGGGAGGCAGAGGCAGTGGATCTCTGTGAGTTTGAGGTCAGCCTGATCTACAGAGCAAGTTCCAGGACAGCCAGGGCTACACAGAGAAGCCCTGTCTCGAAAAACAAACAACAACAAAAAGACACCTAGAGCCCCTCAATGAGGTGAAATCTTTTGCCCCAGGGGGGGAATTCACTGATGTTATGAAAATATGGGTCCTCTTTAGAACATTAGATGGTTTTCTTTAAAAGTTCCGTGAAAAGTAAATCAAATTACCAATACCACCATTTAATGTGTATGCCAGATTCATAAATCTCTGAGGTGAGATGCTAGAGGATCCACTCCACCCATTTCCTCCCAGGACAAGTTGATTGGTCTTTATTGAACACTTGGAGCTGGAGGTTTATGCCTATTGAGGTGGTCTGCTGTAGTTTATTAGTGTATATACCTCTCTGACAGTTTCTTCCAATAATGTCTTCAAGCTTGTCTTCGTGTCACTGGTATCCACTGGTGCACACATGTTCCCTTGCTCTCCCCCTCCTTCGGTGTCTCTCTGTCCCTCCCCTCTCTTTCTCTGTGTCTGTCTCCCTCCCTCTTCCTCTTCCTATCTCCCTTCCTCTCTCTCCCCTCCATTTCCTTCTCTCACTGGCTATAACTCACTGTATAGACCAGGCTGGCCTGGACCTCACAGATACTCCTCTGCCTCCCAAGCTCCATTGACACCTTGGGGTTTCTGTTCTCTCAGAATCACACATCTTATGGGTCTTTCAATTTCCTTATTAGCTCTGCTCTGTAGACAACACAGTGCTTGTCTGTCTCCTCTTTCTGGGATGCATTTATTAATATTCCTGTGAAAACATGGGTCCTCTTTAGAACATTAGATGGTGTTTTTAGAACAATTTGTGCTGTCTTATATCCTTCTGTTAAAGTATATTTTTTATTAATATATTTAGGATTTGTGAAGTTTTTTGGAAACCTGGCTGTCATGGATAGTCCTCAACAAATCTGTGAGCGCTACCCTGTCTTTCTCGAGAAAGTGTTTGAAATGGCAGACAGTCAGGACCCCACCATGATTGGTGTAGCTGTGGACACAGTTGGAATCCTGGGATCCAGTGTTGAAGGAAAACAGGTTTTACAGAAGACAGGTTGGTATGACTTATCTTGGCTTTTGTAAGATGTGGTTTCATTTCTGGCCGGAATTCGGAGTGTGGGTTATCTGCTGTTAACTCTTGTAGAGACTATTTTTATGGGCAGCAGTCTATGGTATGGACTCATCTCTCAGAGTCTCATGACAACTACTGAAAAGCTGTGGCTTTTACTCCTTACTGTATTCAGGTTCTTTCATGCAATGGGGACCAAACAGCGTTTTCTGTTACTGTCTTCCTTGACTGCTTTTTATAAAGGCATGGCTCATGTCCTGTCCTGGTTCTATCACCGATGGAATGTGTGAATTTCATTCATGTGATTTCTCTAGGCCTCGCTTTCCTTGTTTATCAAAACAGCACAACAGCAGCTTCTTCGGGATTTTGCATGTTTCACAAGCACAGAGAGACAGTCAGGAGAGAAAATTTTGTGTCAAGGGTTTATATTTAATATAAAGATACATGTATGAACATCTACTCATACAACAAATCTAACACAGAAAGCACAGCATATTTTGATGTACTTGTGAAGTACAAGTTGAAAATTGATGAATTGGCCAGGCGGTAGTGGCCCACACCTCTAATCCCAGCACTTGGGAGGCAGAGGCAGGCGGATCTCTGTGAGTTCGAGGACAGCCTGGTCTTCAAAGAGAGTTCCAGGACAGTCTCCAAAGCCTACAGCGAAACCCTGTCTCAAAAAAAAAAAAAAAAAAAAAAGGTTAAAATGGTAGGTTTTATGTTCTCTGTCACCATTATCCTTCACAGGAACCCGCTTTGAACACCTCCTCACAAGAATAGGTTATCAAGCAAAGAATGCTTCTACAGAGCTAAAAACCAGATGCTTGGATGCAGTTTCTTCTCTTCTGTATTTATCAGTGAGTAGATGAAGAAATGATTGAAGGGCAGTGGGTTATGTTTGGGAGGATGAGTCAGCTTGGCACTAGTCAGGTTAATGTTCACATGGGTGTCCTGCTTCTCACTTTAATTAAGATGATAACCTAGTGGCCCACACCTTTAATCACAGCACTTGGGAGGCAGAGGCAGACGCATCTCTGAGCTCCAGGTCAGCCTGGTCTATGTGGTGTGTTCTAGGACAGCCAGGGTTACATAGAGAAACCCTGTCTCAAAAAACAACAAAAAGAAGATGATAACTTCCACTATATGACTCGTTACATGAAAAAAAAATTAGGGATATTTTTAATTCTTTAAGCGTTTCATACATGTATACATATATTTTGATTGTATCCACTCCTCTTTAACAACCCTTCCGTGTTCCTCCCATGCCCTCCTCCCAATTTCATGTGTGTCTGTCTTTCTGCCTCTCCCCCTCATCTTTCATAACCATTGAGTCCAATTAGTGCTGCCCGTGTGCACAAGAGTATGAGATCATAGCCACACTTGCAAAGACACCCCATACCCTCCACCCCCACCCCCAGGCTGCTGTCTGTGTGGGAATTTTGGCTGACTTAAACTTGTGGAGGTAACCACAGCTACTAAGGATTTATGAGAGCTGCTATCATGCTCTATCAGAAGACAGCATCTCACAGCTTCAGTGTTTACATTCTTCTGCCCCCTCTTCTGCAGTGTTCTCTGCACATTGGAGAGTTGGGGATTGATAAAGCTCTTACTTTAGGCTGAGCAGTTAAGTCACGTATTCTCAGTAAGCACTGCCCACCACAAAACAAAGAATCTCTGACCAAGCTTGCAGCCAGCACAAATCTAAAAGTATACACGTGACTGGTGGGCTGGAGAGATGGCTCAAAGGTTAAGAGCACTGACTGCTCTTCCAGAGGTCCTGAGTTCAATTCCCAGCAACCTCATGGTGTCTCACAACCATCCATTATGAGATCTGGTGCAATCTTCTGGTGTGCAGATATACATGGAAGCAGAATGTTGTATACAAAATAAATAAATAAATAGATAGATAGATAGATAAATAAATAAATAAATTCTTAAATAAATAAATAGATAGATAGATAGATAGATAAATAAATAAATAAATAAATTCTTAAAAAAAAAAAAGTGACTGGTTAGCAAAACAGGAATAGTAGTAGGTCCCCCTCTAAGACCTATGGCTTCCTCAGCCATGAGCTTTTTTATTTAATTATTTTATTTTATGTGTATGGGTGTTTTCTTGTATGTCTGTGCACAGCATGTGTCTCAGAGGCCAGGAGAGGGCATTGGATCCCCTGGAACTGGAGTTATAAGTGGTTGTGAGCCTCCATGTGGGTGCTGGGAATTGAACCTGGGTCCTCAGAAAGAACATCCAGTGCTCTTAACCTCTGAATCGTCTCTCCAGCCCCCAGCCATGGCCTCTGGCAAGATTTACAGTGCAGAGCATGAATTCTGTTCTGTGAAGCTGTCCTCAGATCCAGTCAGAGGTGCTTATCCTCATAACAGTCATGGCACTCTGTACCGTGGACATATCTTTGAAGGTCAAACTGTAGCCTTCGGGGGGTTAGCACTGGGGAAGACAATGATGTCTCTTTTCCCAGAAGCCAGCATAGTGCCTTTTTGTACTATGGAAGCTAGTCAGCTGAAGAAAAGTTTCCTAGTCGTTGATTTCTCTATGTCTTGCAGTCAAAGTCTGGGTGTCTTCAAGAATAGGGTTACCATTTAGTTATGGTGGGCAACCAAGAGCAATAGGCATAGCCTGTTTTAATTTGTGTTGGGGGGGAGGGGTCTCTGGCATCTCCCAGGGAGTCGCTGGGGTTTTCATTTAATAACCTATTTCTTCTGGGAACAGTGTTGCCCACTTATGCAGGATACCACCATTCAAATTCCCTTAAAATGGGTGGTGGAGGTTCTTATTTTTGGTTAGCTTTCCCATAACCCTCTCCTCACCTCGTAAATTTTATTTATTATTGTGTATAAGAGAAGGAAGGATGGGGAGAGGTGTGTGGGCACACATGCCATAATACACATGCAAGGGTCAGGACAGCTTTGCAAAGTGATTCCCTCTTCCTGCTTTTATATAAAATCCAGGGATTGAATTAGGCCATCAAGCTTACACAGCAAGTGCTTTTACCCATTGAGTCACCTCAGCAACCTGATTAGTAGCATTCTAAATGCAAAGTGGAAATAGAATAGAATTTAAGAGAGCCTAGGGATTATTTCATCCCCTCCAACAAAAGTGGGGACTTTCTGGGCTGGATTTGGGGATGAATTCTCAAAGGGTAGCTTTCTGGTGTCATTTACACAAGGTTCTTTGCACCATAGCTGCTAGCTTTTCTCCAGGTATGCTAACCTTGTCGTGAGAGTTTCCTTTTCTGTCTCATAGCCTGAGCAACAGACTGATGACTTCCTGAGGATGGCAGAATCCTGGTTTGCCTCCTTATCTCAAGACTCCCTGGAGCTCTTCCGTGGCATCAGTAACCAACCCTTCCCTGAACTGCACTGTGCTGCCTTGAAAGTGTTCACAGTAGGTATTCTCTCCTTAGTGACTGCCAGCTCAACACAGAGCACTCAAAATGAGCTAGCCACTGTGTGCACACACAGCAGTTTCTGCCCCTGCTACTGAGGGAGACACAAGTCAACAGGTTATCAGTTAAAGGTATCTGATGTTGTTTGAGGTTGAACAAGCTTCTGTTGGATACAGATTACGGATTGATTAATTGCAGATTAATCCCAGCTCCTGAACTTTTCGTTCAGCCTTGCCCTTGTCTCTTTCCTGTTTTATTCCTATGGTCCCTTCTGGCACTTAGTGCTCAGGTGAAGCCAGGTGGCTAGTTTCTTATCTCTGACCTCTGCTGTGCTTTCTGACCTCAACACTCTTTGCTAACTTTGCTTAAGAACCTCTTATTTATTCAAGAAGTAGCTTCAGCACACTTTGCCTAAGTCTATACAGTGGAGTTAATTGATACTGATTCTCATATGTGATATATTCATTCAACAAACATTGAGTTTTCCCCCTTCCCTACTAGATGTTGAGCCTTTTCTGAAACCGCCAGTCTGTGGAGGGAGCCAGACCATAAATATATTTAGAAAGTTGATTATAAAATTATAGCTAAGGTATGGATTATACCTGTGCATGCTTTATTATTATGTTTTATTATTATATTATGTTGAAATGTTTATTAGTTAATAAACTCCTTCCTCTGTTTACCTTCTTAGGCCTAGCACTTAGCAGTGTGCCAGTCATCCTGGCTAAGTATAATCACATTAGTGGTTTTATCCCAGAGCCCAGGACACACACTAGGCTGTACTGAGTGGGAATGACAGAGGCAAGTTTTCTAAATCGTGTCTTAGTGAGCACATGTGTTTCTGAAAGTGTTTTGGGATGCTTCACCTTGGAAACAGCCATCTATGCTGATGTCTCACAGCCTTAGTTCTTGCTCTTCTGACCCTCTGATTTGGTGGTGGATGGCTGGTGCTGCCGGCCTGAGGAAGACATGAAGCTGGAAATGTCCTAAATGTAGTAATGAGCTTTTGATAAACATATAAGTTGCTGATTCATTATTTTAAAATTTGAGAGACTGAAAAATGGGACATTTCAAATCACACAGTTGCATGCTTGTCTTTGGTCTTAGTTTTAGTATTGGCTGTCTTGGAGCGCAGTGTTTCCAGAGGAAAGTTGGTGTGTGCTCGGTACCTCTGTCTGATCACATCCATGGTCCTCTTTCCTACGTCTAACTGTCACGGATGTGGGGTTCACAGGCCAGTGCTGATGGTTCTACTAAGTGCAGTGCAGATCATATGTATTCTTAGATTTTAGTTTTAAGATGTATCTGGTTTAAAATGGGCCAATAGGCTGGGCGTTGGTGGCACACACCTTTAATCCCAGCACTCTGAAAGCAGAGGCAGGCAGATCTCTGTGAGTTCGAGGCCAGCCTGGTCTCCAGAGCTAGTGCCAGGATAGGCTCCAAAGCTACACAGAGAAACCCTGTCTCGAAAAACCAAAAAAAGTCAGCATTCCATTGACTTAGTCTCCTGCAAATGGAGATTTAGATACATGTTACATATGATGCTATGAACATTCCTCAAAAGGATTCTATTGCATACAAGTTTAAGAGTGACTGTGCTGGGCAGTGGTGGCATACACCTTTAGTTCAGCACTTGGAAGGCAGAAAAAGGCAGATCTCTGAGTTCAAGGTCAACCTGGTCTACAGATTGAGTTCTAGGACAGCTAGGAGTACCCATTTCAAGAGTGTTGTCATCTCTGGTTTTGCTCTTTATTTTTGTACCATATTTTAGTGTTGTCTAGAAATTGGATCCATGTCAGCAGTTCTCTAACTGTAGAATTTGTGATGGACCTGTCTGTGGAACATGACAAAGGGGTAGTTCACTACCCCTTTGCAAATGTCTATCTGCAGAAGTATTTACATTATGATTCATAACAGTAGCAAAATTACAGTTACAAAGTAGCAATGAAATAACTTTATGGTTGGGGTCCCCACAGCATGAGGAACTGTATTAAAAGATTGCAGCATTAGGAAGGCTGGGAGCCACTGCTCTCTCTGTCTTTCATGTGGTAGATTTACTCATGTCATTAAGTGTTCTTTATAAATAATTAAGTCTTAAGTTTTTATTGCAATGAGCCATAGTTTACTTAACCGGGCCCATTATTAGACACTAAAGCTTTTACATTGTACAAAGCTTTTAATATATAACATTATTTAAAATATGTTTCTCGGGAATTTGTTTACTTGGACCAAGGGTGATGCCTCTAAGGTTTGTGCTGCCAAGTGTATTTCTGAGTATTGTGTTGTTCCACTCACGGACTTGTCTTCTTAAGGCCTAGATGAATTGTATTCTCTTTCTGCCTTCAATTTTAGGCTATTGCAAACCAGCCCTGGGCTCAGAAACTTATGTTTAACAGTCCAGGTTTTGTAGAATTTGTGATGGACCGGTCTGTGGAACATGACAAAGCTTCAAAGGATGCCAAATATGAACTGGTTAAAGCACTTGCCAATTCCAAGACTGTTGCAGAGATCTTTGGGAACTCAAATTATTTGAGACTCAGAACCTACCTAAGTGAAGGTCCATACTATGTGAAGCCTGTTGCCACTACAGCAGTGGAAGGAGCGGATTGATTTCTTTTGGTTAGGGCAGAAGACCATGTTTTGACCAGAATTTGTCAAGGCATGACATTCCATCTGTTTTCAGAGAGCAGGGGCTTCCCTCTTCCAGTGCCATCATGGAGTGTGTTCCTACGTGAATGTGTTGTGGGCCAGGTACTTACCCTGCAGTGAATGCAACAGCATGGCTAGGAAAGCACTAGTCTCTCCCCGGCTGGTCCTCTGGCTGCTGTAGTCTCTGCTGCAGGGTCAAAGGTTGGTTTTCTCAGAAAGCTTCCATGGGCAGACTCGTGACCTCTCTTAAAAATAAAATGAAACCAAAATGATTCTGATTTCTTTTCACCACTCTTTTCCTTATCTGAATCCACCTCTGTTGTGGGTGACCCTGCTCAGACACCCCTTGGGGGAGGGGGGGAGAAGATGCAGCACCAATGACTCAGGCACTGGGAGTCAGTCACTAGCAGAGCATGCTGCAGACTTGTTTATTAAGGAAGTTAGACCTGCCTTTATACCCCCTCCCAAGGTCCTATTGGCTCAGGCGGCTGACTCTGCTGTGTTGTCTTTTTCTCATTGGTGTCTCAGGGTCAGGTGTCTCTTTGTCAACAGTCTCTGGGGTAGAACAGGCTTGGTTCAGGGAGGAAGTGCCTACCATACATGCTCATGCAGGCTGGCCTGGGCACCTGAGCCTTGGGTAGTCTGGCCAAAGTTTCCCCTTGGGTATCTTAAGTAGTCTCTGAAAAATATGTCATTTGGAATCATTGAATTGTATTATTTGTATACAAGGAATAAATGGTTTTACTAAGATTTCTTGGTTTCTTTTCTTTTGAAAGTGAAAATCTCTAAAATTTGTTCGGGATTAGTACTTTTGCTATTTGTCAGTTTTACTGTGTTTCGTTACAGGGGAGGGAGAAAGGGAGGGAGCCTTAACCAGACAGTTCTCTTAACTATCGCTTCATTGGTGGGCCGTCATTGTGAAGGGTTTGGGGTGATTTCTCTGATCCATGAGAGTCAGAATGGAGAAGACAGTGTATACAACTGAGATGCCATCTCATTGGCTTACAGACGGTTCTCCTCTACCTTTTTTCCAGTGTTATTCTCTCTAAACAGGAAGGCTCTCTACACACAAAAATCAGTTGTCTAGAGGTTTCTGCATGATCTTGGCAGTGACCAATTTAGAACCAGGAAGTGATTCTTTTAGGCTGTGGTGAGGTTGGTAAGTCATCCCTTCCTGTGACATGATTCTCAAGTGATTGGAATTCTGATCCTGTTGCATCGTTTCTCCTCTGTTGTCTCCGAGTTTCTTTTTCTCTGCTGCCAATATCTCAAATTAGGCTACAGTCAAATATTTCCTGTTAGGAAATATCCAGAGGGACTTTCGCTTGAATGACATTCATGATGCTGGTTTTTTTCCCCTGAACTTTTATGTAGTGGTGGTTGGGGGGGAGGGTTTGTTTTGTTTGTGTTTGTTTTTCTCTGAGACAGGGATTCCCTGTGTAACAGCCCTAGCTGTCCTGGAACTCACTCTGTGGACAAGACTGGCCTTGAACTCACAGAGATCTGCCTGCCTCTGCCTCCCAAGTGCTGGGATTAAAGGTGTGCCCCAACACTACCTGGCATCCCTTAACTGTTGATTGCAGTAAAATACATATACATATATATATATATATATATATATATATATATACACACACACACACACACACACACACACGTAAATAAAATGTAGCCATTGTATGTATACTTTTTGGTGGCATTATATGTGTGCAGATGTCATACAGTGATTATTGCTGTCCATCTCCAGGCTGACCTCAAATTCACAGACATCTACCTGTCTCTTCCTTCCAAATGCTGGGATTAAAGGTGTGCACCATCACACCCATCTCTCATTCTGCTTTTGTTGTTCTTTTTTTTCATATTTAATAAGAGCTATAAATTATTATTTTGCATTTGATAAGCAAGGTATTGTGTGGCGAGGTCTAACAACATCAGTGCAGCCATGGGACTAGGCCTCACACTTACAATAACCAGGAAAAACCACAGACTATACCTCTTTGGGGGACCAATCAGAATTGAAACAAACAAGTACTAGATGCTCCAGAACATAAAGAATAGCTTACATAACCTGTTGCCAATTTCCTTGCAGCAACACCAGTGCCACTCCCTGTTTGACAAAACTTCTGTTACTGAACTCCTGCCTAATCAGGCGTTAAACCCCCAACTGAATCCAAAATTCCACCAGCACCCCATCCTTTCTTTACTCCTTAAAATCCCACCATTACTGAGCTCAATGCTCTCCTAGATCCAACCACTGTGTCAGAAAGGGCCCAAGCTCAAGCTAGCAATAAAGGCTCTTTGCTTTTGCGTACAAACTCGGACTCCTGGTGGTCTCTAGGGGGTTTGTGACTCAGAGGTGGGGCCGGGGGAGACAATGAGACTTCATCAGCTGAACAGAAGGCTTGTGGGCAAAACAAACACCAACAGAATGACCAGGTGCAAAGACAGCACAGATCCATGCATGTCTTGCCTCCTGGGTTACCAATATCCATTTCTGCCAGTGGACCCTACAGAGGGGGTCCCAGCAGAACAGCTTCCCCACTGCACTACAGAAACAGCTGCTGTGCTAGTGAAGTTCATGGGGAAAGTTGCTGTGTCTCTCAGACCTTTACAAACTGGTCCACAGACACTCTTAGAGTTGTCTACACCCCTACTACCAGCCTCTGAGACCACATCGTAGCCACCACCAGGGAGCAGCATTGTACTCCATATTGCTGACAAATGCTGTATATGTCCACATTGCTGATCCTAATTCCAAGGTTTTACAGCCCCAAGCTTAGGAAACAGCTCTATTCTGAAGCTTTTCCACACTGCTCCACACTCACACAGTCACAATGTTATAGATCTTGTCCATGATAATAAGCTGTCTAGGAAGCACTCCATCTCCTGTCTTATTGCTGCTGCGTCTTAACCCTGACTATTTAGAACCCAGATCCAGGAAAACAGCTGTGAGTGACTTGCTACTGAGCTGCGTAGTGCCTTGCCCCTCAAGAAATAGATACATCAAATGAAGAAGCTGTTTCCCTTCAAGGCCTACACCACCGTGTTTCCCTGACTCCAGGGCACTAGAGCTTTAATCCAGAGGAACAACCTTGGTGCTTGAACTTTGATGACACCCCTTACCAAGGAAACACCCTTGGCTGGTCTGTGTCATCTCTGGGAGGAACAGCCACAGTGTCTCACCTTCCTGCATCTGAACTTGCCCTATAGTCTTGAGATACTTGAGGACCCCACTAAATGGGGAATGAAATCAATGCTGCACTGCTTCCCACTCACCAGAGTCCATGCCAACTGTGCCCCACCATTCCCAGGACATAGCTGCCTTTGCAGCCCCAGTCACGGAGGCCTGCACCACTACAGTGTTCTAACACTCAATGTGGGCATCACTACCTAGCAGCATGCTTTATGCCAATGCTCAAGCTGCCACTGTCCCTATTGACTTCACAACCCAAATTGGAACTGTGTTCCACTATTTAGGATCTGTGCCTGTTGTGTAGGAGGTTGAAAACTTCCATCCTACAAGGAGGCTTCTTAAGCAGGGACATAAACAACTCAAAATAGCATCAGGAAGTACCTGAAACTGAACAAATTCACTAGACCCCCCCCTCCCTGCCAGAGTGTCAGGCTGTATAATATTTTAGAAATATGTCTGGTCCAGCCAGTTATAAGAGCTCAGAACTTCTATTGTCTTTTAGATAGCAGCTGATTATTGTCTGATGCCATGCCTCAGTAGGGAATGGCTCCTATTTCTGTATAACAAAAGACCTGGGCCAGGGCTAGTCTACACCCACCCTGAGGGCTAGTAAGATGTGCTAGTATGGAGTGTCTGAGGGCTTGGGTATGTGCTGCGTAGGAGTGTCTCCAGGATTAAAGGAAATATTTCCTATCAGTCCTATATACATGATAATAGATGTCTTCTGCTGATGCCTCCACCTTTGGATTGTTACTTAAGATGATGGAACAATAAACCGTGGCCTTCAGTATTGACTGGGAGCCCTTCTGTTATTACCAGAAGTCTCTGTCTCATCCTTAGCGTCGTTGGATAGCTAGGCCTTCCCTCATCCACACACCCCCACTCAGGGTCGGACCCGGGGCTGTTCGCTGGTTCAATCTCAGCCCCAAAGACATCAGTCTGGAATAAGTGGCTCCAGCAGCATGGGGCTAATACAGCCTGGACCACAATACCAGAGCTAGCAATAAAGCTGAGAGTCCCTCACTGACAAGCCAAGCTGCCAAAAAGTCTGAGGTCTGGCCAGCTGCCTGGAAGAGGCTTAGCCCCACTGAATCATGTGGGAAGGATACTCTCCTACCTGTTGAGCTGCCTGCAGGTTGGGACAATACAACTGTCTCTGAGTCATTTCTGCTCCTCTAAGTAACTCACTGGTTCACCAAACTGCACAACTGCACATTGGTGGTATCTGTACTTGGTCTGTTGTGGGCTCCCTATGTGGAGTAAGTAGAGGTGTGTGTGTGTGTGTGTGTGTGTGTGTGTGTAGTGTCTCCACAGAAAATGTTTGTCACGCAACATCATCTCTGGAACACATTCCTCCCTGGACCATGATGCTCAGCACCAGATTCACAGTGGTATCTTTGTCGGGGGGGGGGGGGGGGGGGGGGGTCTGAGCTGCTGGGAAATTACCTGAAATTACAGACCTTGGCTTGAGGGGAAAGCTGTATCCACCTGTTTGCATGTCACAGGTGCCTCAGTTGTTCAGTGGGACACTGAGCCCTGGAACACAGTGTAGTCAGAGTCAGCACCATCAGGGACCCTCTCAGGTAAGTCAATCCTGTGGAAACTTAGAACAGAACTGACCCTTGAGTCCTTATCACCAAGAACACTAAAATCTGTGTTGCCACAGAAACATGGCCCCAGGCCACTGAAGCATCCACAGTAATTGGTGACATTGATCACAGCCAGAGATGCTGTACAGAAGCAGCACTGTTCCAGCAGGAACCAGAACAGCAATCCCTGCACAAACTAGGATCCAAGTGCTGGTGAGGCTCTATGAAAGGCTCTCTATAGCTGGGTGTTGGTGGCACACGCTTTAATCCCAGCACTCGGGAGGCAGAGGCAGGCGGATCTCTGAGTTCGAGGCCAGCCTGGTCTCCAGAGCCAGTGCCAGGATAGGCTCCAAAGCTACACAGAGAAACCCTGTCTTGAAAACACACACACACACACACACACACACACAAAAAAAAAAAAAAGGCTCTCTATAAAATTGAAGAAGTGACTATTCTAGATGTGCAGATATCAATAGAGACATGAAATGTAGTGGTTTAAATAGGAGTGTTCCCCCAGGCTCAAATATTTGAATATTTGGATATGAGAGAGTGGCACTATTAGGAGGTGTAGCCTTACTGGAGTGGGTGTGGCCTTTTTTGGAGGAAGTGTGACACTGGGGGTGGGTTCTGGGGTTTCAGAAACCCAAGCAAGGCCTAGTGTCTCTCTGGCCTGCTGATCCAGATATAGAACTCTCCAGCACCAAGTCTGCCTGCACACCCCCATGCTTCCCACCATGATAATGGACTAAACCTCTGAACTATAAGCCAGCCCCAGTTAAATATCTTCTCTTTATAAGATTTGCTGTGGTCATGGTCTCCCCTCACAGCAATAGAACACCAACTAAGACAGATTACTATCAAAGGAATCTGGTAATTCTCCAGTAACTAACCCCATAGATGGAATTTATGAAGTGCCTGATGAAGACATCAAAATAATGATTCCAAGAAAACACAGACACAAGAGAACTCAGGCCATTTACTAAAAGCAAGAAAGCATTCTTCATCTGCATGAAAACAAATCACACACATAAATACACAATAATCTTGGAGCTGAAAAACTCAATGAATAATAAACTATAATTGAAATTTAACAACAGAAGATTTGTGGGTTTTGAGAAGGCTCAGCAGTTAAGAGAACTTGCTACTCCTGAAGAGGACTTGAGTTTGGTTCCCAGTACTCATATCTGGTGGTTCACATCTGTAACTCCAAAATGCCCTTTTCTGGTCTCTACAGGCACCAGCACACAGACATATAAATAAAAAAATTTAATTCTTTTTAAAAATGAATCTTAAGTCTTTAGAAATAATGCATAGTGGGGCAGGAGAAAAATGAGAAAGATGATAAAGTCCTCTAGGATTTATCAACAAATTCTCACATTACCAGATTCAAGGAGAAAAAAGATGGAGAAAGCCCAAAAATATTAGGGTGATTCCATGACATTTTCCAGCTCTTGGGAGACTACCAGAAAAAGAAAGACTCTGAACTCAAAATTAGACTAGTGGGAAATATATTATCAGAGGAGAACAAAGTATAATAAATGAAAGATTGAAGACAGATTATAGATGAGCCCACGTCTTTGAATTGTAGGACCCATGGTGAAGTAGAACAATTACTTTAAAGAAACCATCTTAGGAAACTTTACAAACTTTGAAAAAGATATAAATGTCCACGTACTGGACATATGATGATGCACACCTGTTATCCTAGCTCTCAGAGGATTCACAATTTCAAAACCAACCTGGGCTATGCAACAAAATCTCACCTCTACCAACCCCCATGAATATCCACACTGCTATCCAGTTATCGAGATGGCCTACTTAATTTGTAGATTTTCATTTAGTCTGTTGTTAGAAATAAAATCTGGTGGTTCATTTTCAAAGGTGCCTTGAGCCAGCTACAAATGAACAGAAAAGGGTAAACCTCTACTAATACCTGCTAGTCTAGCTATTCCCCAAAGTCTGCTAAGATAGACACACAAAGTAGAATATTAAAGTAGAAAACTTGCCCACAATGTCATGCTTCAAATAAGTTTCTTTTAAGATTTTATTTATTTATTATGTATACAACATTCTGCTTGGTGCTCTTAACCTCTGAGCCATCGCTCCAGCTCCTCAAATAAGCTTTAAAAGAAGCAGGATGTGAGCCGGGCGGTGGTGGCGCACGTCTTTAATCCCAGCACTCGGGAGGCAGAGGCAGGTGGATCTCTGTGAGTTCGAGACCAGGCTGGTCTCCAAGAGCTAGTTCCAGGACAGCTCCAAAGCCACAGGGAAACCCTGTCTCAAAAAAAAAAAAAAAAAAAAAAAAAAGAAGAAGAAGAAGAAGAAGCAGGATGCAGTTGGTGGTGCTCACCTTTAATCAGGAGGCAGAGGCCAGCCAGGTCTACAAAGCTACATGTCTCGAAAAATCCAAAAGAAGAAAGGAGAGGAGGGGGGGAGGAAGAGGAGGAGGAAGAGGAGGAGGATAATGCAAAATAGATGAACCCCCTGTGGGTTTTGTTGAGAAAGACAAATTTAAGCTACAGAGGGAAGGATACAACCCAGATGGCATATAAGACTGCGCCCTCTTGATCATTCAAAAAGGGAGGCTCATGTGTCACCCCGTCTGTTCTAGAATGACACCAGCTCTGCAAGGAGTCTCTGAGTCTCAGTACTCTCATTATGAATGGCAGAATCTTTGTCTCTCACATCTAAGAAATGTATCAAAATCCCAGTCTTGCTAAAATACAAAACAGATTGTAAATCTTGTGGGTGCTCAAAGGACCCTAACCAAAGAACAAGCTAGAATGGATCACACTGTAGTCATTTCCTGCATTTCCGAGGTCCCATGGCCACACAAGCAGCCATTGGCATTCTGACAAAATACCTAGTCATCCAGGGCCTTAGGTAATCTGTGCTCATGGGCAGCATGGCCACATAATCTATGTGCATGTGTGGTGTGACTACATTAACCCCCCATGCGCACGCACTTTTGAGACCTTTAAAAGCAGACACACCCATCTCACTCCCTCTCTCGCCATGTTTCTTCCAGACAGGCGTGCACACAACCTCTTCCCTTTCCCCATTCTTTACTAATAAAACTCTTAAAGTGGGTTCTGTTGTATATCTTGTGTTCTGTTGTCTCGAACAGTAAATAACACACACTATCTGACTTTTTGAAATCACAGTGATCAGAACAGCATGGGACTGTGTAAAAAGACACACGGATTGGTGGAACAGAACTGAGTGCTCAGAAATAAAGTTTAAAGTTTATGATCAATAGCCAAGAACACAATGCCTACAGTACATTATCCTTAATAAATGGTGATGGGAAAACAATATCTACACTTAGAGGGTTAAGATTAGACCTTCAACCCACAGCACAAACAAAAATAATGTTACAAGAGTAAAGCCATAGTGACATTCAGGCCTAGACTACTACTGAAGACCATGTCTGGAGCCATGCATGATCCTATCATACATAGACAAGGTCTGTGTTGATGTCTGTGGCCCATGATAACACCAAAGGCCACAAGAATGCCCCAGATCTAGGCCGAAACCTGTGGTCATGTTGGTGTCTGAGGTCCCTGCCACCACATGGGCCTTGCTGATCTGGGTGGCCTGCACTACCACATAGGACCATGGTGTCAGCCAAGCCCAGGCCACTGCCTAGGGCCGTGTCTGGGTCCATGATCCTACTGTAGCAGGGTCTGAATTGATATCCATGGTTCCTGTTACCACCAGCGGCTATGTGGATGTCCCGGGTCTGTACAGCCACCTGAGACCATGTTGGTGTCTGAGGGTCTTGCTGCCTCTGGGACCATACTGATCTGGTGGCCTGTACTGTCACCAAGGCCATGGTGACATTTGGCCTGAACTGCTGCTGCTGAGGGCCATGTCTGGGTCTGTGGCCCTGCTTCAGCTGGGGTCTGTGATGATGTCCATGGCCTGTGTTGCCATAGGTGGTCATAGGAACCATGCATGTGGAAACCTGAGAGATGTGCTGAGCGGACCCTGTCCCTCACTGGCCCTGGGATAGCTGGCCCTGCCCCTCACAGGACACTGCAGCAGGAGAGCTGCCCCTCTGCACTCGAAGAGACGGCCCCACCCCTTACTCCAGGTGTGGGAATGCTGGCCCCAATGTCATGGACTTAGGAGAGCTGACTCTGCTCCTCACCTGAGAGGGGGGCAAATCCAGTAGCCCCGACCGACCAGCTCAGCTACCACCCAGACCCATACCCTGGGCCTTGGGCTAACATCTACCCCATTTTTGAGCTGCTGGAATACAGAACAATAGCTGCAGGATCTCCAAGACTCAGGGCAACAGCAGGATATCTGAGAGGAGTTTTGGTGAGGGTCCAGTGATGATGGTGTGCCAGAGGCCTTGAACTGGACCAATGAGCATTTTGTGAATGGTGTTGATTAGACAAAGGGTATACTGTGTGACACACCAAAGCACTCAATGACACTAGGATGAATGAAGAAGCATTGGAAAAATGAGTGAGGTATATTTTGGGGGTTGTTTGTGTGAGACAGGGTTTCTCTGTGTAGTTTTGGAGCCTGTTCTGAAACTGGCTGGCCTTTAACTCACAGAAATCTGCCTGCCTCTGCCTTTGCCTTCTAAATTTTGGGATTAAAGCGTGCACCACCACTGCTTGGCTTTTGTTTTGTTTTTTAATGGACTTTGGCAGAGGGGAGGGGGTGTTGAGAGAATGCTGCAGAGGTGAAGGGAGGTTATGGAGGGGCGGAGAAGTGAGTGGGATTGGAGTGCATGATGTGAAATTCCCAAAGAATCAATAAAGAATTATGTTTAAAAGAAAAAAGAGCCGGGCATTGGTGGCGCATGCCTTTAATCCCAGCACTCGAGAGGCAGAGGCAGGTGGATCTCTGTGAGTTCGAGGCCAGCCTGGTCTCCAGAGCGAGTGCCAGGATAGGCTCCAAATCTACACAGAGAAACACTCTCAGAGAAAAAACAAAAAAAACAAAAACAAACCAACAAAAAAAACACATCAGAGCACCAAGAACATTTTGTGGTTTTTCTAGGTATGACTAAAGATTCAGAGTTGCTACATGGCATGGGGACATAGAGTTGCGTTCTATAATGGACCAACAGCAATTTCAAAACAAGAGACTTAAAAGAAAAACAAGTGAATACTATTCACCAAAGTGCACAGCACTGCCTTACTTGGTCCCCATATGAAAATGTCTAAAGCTGTCAAGGTATGTCTGAAGTTTGCAGGAAATGAGCCCATAGTAAGTCTCAAACAGTGAACACTCTTTCCCTTCATTCATTTCTCTCCATGCCAGGGAAGTTTCAGCATCTGTAGCTTCTGAGGATGTAAAGATGAACTTGTAGCAACATTGTTATACACAATGTGTCTTTGCCCAGAAAACCTTGAGCTGTGGATGGGTGTAAGCCCAACAGACTTAGCACAGCACAATCCCTACGAATACATCAGTGGGCACTGTTATAGGTGCTTCGTTCAAGACCACATACACCGTGTGAGCCACATCTTGGGACATTATAAAGGCCTCACTACTGCAGTAGTCTGGGTAGTGTTTTTCTGGGTACTCACTAAGAGGGACAAATTCTTGGCTGTGGGGGTCTCTGTTAGGCGTATCCTGGTGAATAACCCTTCCTACATAGGTACCTTCCAGGTGTTCTTTTAGACTGAGGAGATAGTCGACCAAGCCTGATAAATTGATAAACATCTTTTCATCAGCTTTGAGGATGAACAGGGCATTAGGACAAAAGGCCACAGCCCACTGGGTCATTGAGATGACTTTCAGGGTTTGGTTTTCCGGACTGTCCAAGAAGATCCCTTCAATTATATCATCATTCTTCTGAGACTCTATGTCTATCTCTTCCTGGGTAGTTACCAGAGCTGGCTTTCCCAGAGCAAACAGTGTGAAAATTGGGTCTCCCTGGACACTGGTAACACTGCCCCAGGTTTTCCTGATGAGCTCCTGTCTTGTTCCATTCCCTGGGCTACTGAAGATAAGAGAGAGCAGAAAGATGGTCTTCCCATTACATGCCTCTGGCTGGCTCAGAACATAATACTTGGAAGGATTACTTCTTATGGATTCCATGTTCAGTTTTCTTGCCTTGTTCTTAATTTCAAGAATTTTCATATCAGTATGAGGCAAAGAACGTAAAAAGTATTCTTCCACAAAGTCAGCTCCAAAGAGCAAGGCATGAAATAGTATGACATTAAACAGAATGAAACACCACTGGTGAGCTCGAAATCTGCAGAACGTCACCTAAGTAAGAAAAGGAGTTATAAGAAAAACAAAACAAAGTTAATTAATTTTAAAAAAGAAAATTAAGCTTCATGAAGCCATTAAGCCATTAAGCTTCATTCCCACCTGTTTATTTCACCCACCAACCCCTGTAGGGGCTTCTCACTCAGCAGTACATTCTATTTTAAGTGTTTATTACAGTCACTTCTCTCTTCTACTAGATTGCAGTCTCCCTGTTATCAAGCATGTGTGTCTCTCTTCTCCAGTGTTTGCCGGGAAGTGGGTGGAAGTTTATTTATATTTATAACTAGATACTGTGTGAGACTCTGGGGTTACAAGGAAGGATCAGGACAGATATGCTGATGCCACATATCGAGTGGCATCATGGTGATTCAAACCTACAAGGAACATGCATATAGTTCTTTCTTGAATGGAAGCACTCGGGCCAGTTTCCTCTCTGATTGCAAAGATCAAGGATTGTTTTCCATGATGTGGTGGCTTTGGTGTCCACCATACCCTGGATATTCATTAGACATTTAAATTTCAGTATAACTTTCAATTTACTCTAATACTGAACCAGAGTCTGCTTTGACTGGCTCTCCTAACCCATCTGGCATGCTTGTCCATGTGGGGAGATTCCCATTATCTGCAGAGAGTATTCTTTTCAAAGGCCTAGGTGGACCTGTACCAAGCTTACTCCACCTTACCAAGAAGAGGGAAAGTGCCCATCCAGTAGGGAACAAGCAAAATTGTAACAGCTAAGGAACTTTAAAGGACTCAAAACTGTGTGTTAGAACCTTACTGCTAGGAAGTAGCTTACAATGGGTTTCCTCTACTGAGCATTTGCCCTGTGCCAGTCACTGTGCTGAGCACTTTAGATCTACTGCATTTGGCCCCAGTGACATCCTGTTAAGAAAGATTAACTTCCAAATTAAGCCAAGCACCTGAGAGGTTTAATCATTTGCCCAAGAGCACACTGTGGGTAAGGGATTGAGATAGGCTCACAATTTGAACTTAGATCTATCAGCATCTAAAGTTCACTTGTAACACTGAGGAATTCTGACCCCTACTTTTCATTCGCCATGCCAACTGAGTAGGAAAAACAAAATAAAACTTGTAGTTACAAGCTGTGCTACTTGCCACTTTTCTCATTGTTAACAATTTACATGCAGAACAACCTATTTTAATAGCTATCAAATGCTTCAGAGATGTTCAGAAACTTACCTGCATGTTGTCTGTGAGCAATCTCAGGGCATTGGTAATGATTAAGTTCATATGCCAAGTTCTGCACAATAGAACTTCGGGATAGCTGCAGCCCAATAGCAATTGCAGAAAAGTACCTTGAGCCTCAGACTTTAAGGATAAGGTTTCTTGCCAGTCACCCTGAGCTTCTGTCCCAGAATACCTGCTGCCTGCATAGAACAGTGCATGCTTATCATATTACAGCTAGTGAGAATGTGGAACAAAAGAGAAAAAAAAACCAAAAACAAAGCTTTTCATGTGTTCACCCTGTGTCTCATGGGACAGACTCTGTATTGTCGTGCTGAGCTCCAAGTAAAATACATGTGGAAGTTCAAAGAACCCTTCGTCTACATTATGTTTTCACAGCATCACCTCCCAAAGAGAAAAACAATGTTCGATGTCTCTCAGGAATAATGCCTAATCTCCAGTACACGCACACAGTAAGACTGCTCTAAACATTAAGGAATACATGTGATCCCATATTTTTTCTCCCCCAAAGAAACACCATGTAGTCAGTGTGTCTTATTGAGAGAGATTCTGAATTCCTGGTATAAGCTATGTAAGATATTTACTAAATCATAAGAAATACTGCTGGGTGGTAGCCGGGCGTTGGTGGCGCACGCCTTTAACCCAGCACTTGGGAGGCAGAGGCAGGCGGATCTCTGTGAGTTCAAGGCCAGCTGGTCTCCAGAGCGAGTGCCAGGATAGGCTCCAAAGCTACACGGAGAAACCCTGTCTTGAAAAACAAAACAAAGAAGGAAGGAAGGAAGGAAGGAAGGAAGGAAGGAAGGAAGGAAGGAAGGAAGGAAGGAAGGAAGGAAGGAAGGAAGGAAGGAAGGAAAGAAAGAAATACTGCTGGGTGGTGGTGGCACATACAATTAATCCCAGCACTTGGGAAGCAGAGACAGGTGGATCTCTAAATTGGGGGCCAGCCTCATCTACAGAGTGAGTTCCAGGACAACCAGGGATACACAGAGGAACTCTGTCTCAAAAAGCCAAGAAAAAGAAAAGAAAAGAAATACAAACCACTATAAACCAGATGTGGTGGTGCATGACTTTAATCTAGTACTTGAGAGGCAGAGGCAGGTGGATCTTTTAGATGGAGACCCGCCTGGTCTACAGAGCTAGTTCCAGAACAGCCAGGGATACACAGAGAAACACTGTATCAAAAGACAAACAAACAAAAGAGCAAGTACTTAGGGGAAGAAAAGGGAAATAGGATAGTCAAGAAAACATATTTTTGTCTGAGAATGCTATATGAAACAATACTTGATATACTAATGTGAAAAATAAGTAAAAAAAAAAACAAAACACTATTAGACAATGAAAAGGAACTATGGCCACACACAGAGACATACACACACACAAACACATAGATATATACACACAGACACATTAGCAAGCAGGTCCTTAAAATTGTGTATGTTTTCTCAACAACTATCATTCAATCTTGGAAATCTTTACCAATCAGGGAAAATCCAACTTCAAAACCAAATTAAAGGGAGTTTTTACATGTACTGAATCTAGGAATTAAATGTGTCTCTTTTTTTGTTTTTTGTTTTGTTTTGTTTTTTGAGACAGGGTTTTTCTGTGGCTTTGGAGGCTATCCTGGAACTAGCTCTTGTAGACCAGGCTGGCCTCGAACTCACAGAGATCCGCCTGCCTCTGCCTCCCAAGTGCTGGAATTAAAGGCATGTGCCTCCAACGCCCCGCTCTTAAATGTGTCTTATATTTGTTATGCATAATTATGTTTTTGCAATTTTCTTTTTCTGCCTTTTTTCTGGTTACAAATTTTGCTTGCAGATCTTCTCTGGGTCTCAAATTTAGAGTTAAGTTGCTTTTTTCTATGAGAGTGTCAAGTAATATTACCTCTGGGGACGCTCCATTTGAAATTTGCAGTTTGATGTATCAAACATATACCCCGTGGAGGTTGAGGCCAGTGCAGCAAATATTGGTGCATGGTTTTCCTTCCAACCTCCCCTTTCATACAAGTTGCCAAATCTGTATGTTCATCTCTTCTTCAATTTTATATAACGTTCGTCAACAGTGGTTTCCTGTTGCCTGTCAGATCAAATTTGCTCTCTTGGGACCTGGTTTTGAGGAAACCAGGCTTCCATCACAAACAAATATTTCCAACGCTCTGGATGGTGCCAGAGCATGTGGAGCATTGCTGTGCTCTGCCACTAAGTGCAGATGTGACTCTGTTGTCTAGATTGCATGCTGTGTCTTTACAGTAATGAATTACTCTGTCCAGTATGGCAGTTGTTAGCCACATATGTCTATATAAATGTAAATTAACTGAAGCATGCAAGGTGTGTTTCAATACAAGAGACTAGTGACTGCCTTCTTCGAGGGAACCAAGAGAACACCTTTGTCATTGCTGAGGCATTATTGGTTCTCCTAGATACAGATGCATGTGTCTATGAGTGTAGCTTGTGCCAGACAGGCACAGGATAATAGCTGGTGTTCTGAAATTGATTTGTGCTTAAATCCTGTGGTGATATTTTGTTTATGATCCAACAAATAAAGTTTACCTGAAGCTCAGAGTGCAAAACTAGCCACACTAGCAAGCTATAGAGGCCAGGCAGTGGTGGCGCACACCTTTAATCCCAGCACTTGGGAGACAGAGGCAGACAGACCTTTGTTAGTTCAAGGTCACCCTGAGCTACATGAAATTGATCCAGTCTAAAAGAGAGACAGAGCTCACACAAGGGTGATCTCAGCACTTGGGATCCCATGCCTTTAATCCCAGCACTAGAGAAGAATATAAAGTGGGAGGAGTCTGAGGAACAATGCAGTTGGGAGCAGTCTGAGGTTTAGTGGATCACCCCTTTGATCTGAGCATTGGTAGAGGTGAGAACTCTCTAGTAACTGGCCACTTTGCTTCTCTGATCTTCAGCTTTAATCCCAATATCTGTGTCTGTTTTTTTTATTTGTGCTACATCAGTTGCCCATGACCCTGAGATTAAGAGTCTCATGCTCTACCTGTTAGTATTCAGGCATCTGTACTGACCTGTCCTTCAGGTTCTGACAGGATACACCCTCAGATGCAGCCACTGAGAGCACCACCTGTGCAAATTCGATACGTTCCCTTTTAAAGGGCCCTGCTCACCTCCCATCCTTCTTTCTCTTTCTCTCCCTCTGTCTGCCTGTCTGTCTGTCTCTTTCTCTCTGTTTCTCTCCTCTCTCTCCCTCCTCTTTCCTCTCTCCTCTCTCCTGATGCTCCTGTCTCCAGAAGCTGGTTTTCCCTCTTCCCTTTCCCCTTTTTATGATCCCTTTCCCTAATTAAAAAAAAAATCCTTTACTTGAACCCCGTCACGTGGTATCTGTCTCTCTCACACTTTTCTTAAATTACAACACTACTGACTGAGTGACTGTAACTGTAGGCAAGATACCCAAATCAAATCATCTCTAAATATATGGATAATAATAGAAACTACCCTATAAAGTTGTAAGAATTTAAATTATAGCATATATAGTGTTCACATGTGTAGAGCACTTGACACAGTTTTGGTTCTTTTATTTTGTTTTATTTTTTATTTGAGACAGGATTTCTCTGTGTAGCCCTGGCTGTCCTGGAACTTGATCTGTAAACCAGGCTGGCCTCAAGTGCTCTGCCTCTCAAGTGCTGGCATTAAAAGCACATTGGGTACCATCTGTAGTTGGACTTTTTGGTCAAGACTGCCAGCTCCCAAATAATAACACAGAGACTTCTTATTAATTATGAAAGCTTGGCCTTACCTTAGGCTTGTCCCATTAGCTCTTGTAATTTAAATTAACCCATATCTTTTAATCTACAATTTTTACATAGCTTGGTTGTCTTTACTCTGTATTGGCCATGCTGCTTTCTCAACATCTGGCTGGGGACTCCACCTTTCTTCTTCCCAGAGGTCTCTCTGTCTAGAGGGTAAGCACACATGCAAGGGGGTTAAGACAGCAGCAGCGGGGCTGGAGAGATGCTCAGAGGTTAAGAGCACTGGCTGCTCTTCCAGAGATCCTGAGTTCAATTCCCAGCAACCACATGGTGGCTCACAACCATCTGTAATGAGATCTGGTCTGCAGAGATATATGCAGACAGAATACTGTATACATTAAAAAAAAAAAAGACAGCAGCAGCCAGTGGCTCTACAGGAGTGGTTTTTAAGGAGAAAGGGGGAAGTCTGTGATAAAGTAAGTTGAGAAGTACTGACAACAGGTTAGTCAGTGCAGCTCATTATGACTTTGAATTGCTGGACCTTGGTGTTTTGGTATTTGGACCTTGGTGGTCAGCCTCAGCAATGAGATGGGCATAAGGAGTAGCCAAATAAGTGAATAGACCTTGGTGGCTAGCTTTCGAAATGTGGAAGTGTTTAAATGAGGGAATCTGCCAGTTGAGCAAGGGAGAGGGAAGTGGGGAAGACAAGGCCAGTTGGCACCATGTTTGCTATGTTAGGGCCTGTTAGAGCCCTTCAACAACTGCTGGCTTGCCTTGTGCCCTCCCTTCCTTGAACAAAGTCAAAGAGCCAGTCTATACTACCCTTATGCTAGTATAGATCACTTCAAGAATGTCTTGATAAAAATGCACAGTTACAGCTGATAGATCCAGCTCCTGAGGGTACAATCCCATTCAGGGTTGTATGAAGCAGTTTGTACCAGACTTCTGGCTATCACAAGTATTAGTGAACTTAGATGACCTTGTGACTATTTCTACCTACACCAAATGTGGAACACTTCTTCCAGTGACCTAGAAGCTTCCCTGACTGTTGTGACTGGTCTTAAAGGAGACGGCTATGATTGGCCCAAACACAAATGGCCATAACTGTGCCTTATACAGACCCTTCTTGGCCATGTACTCAGGTTGCTCAGACTCACTCAGGGAGATGGCACAGTCTCTTGTACCATCCACCCTTGTGTTGCAACACTAAGCCTAGTAAAAGGCTCTTCTCACCACCTATCTTGCCAACTTTCTTTTTTTGTTTGTTTGTTTGTTTTGTTTTGTTTTTCGAGACAGGGTTTCTCTGTGGCTTTGGAGGCTATCCTGGAACTAGCTCCAGGCTGGTCTTGAACTCACAGAGATCCTCCTGCCTCTGCTTCCCGAGTGCTGGGATTAAAGGGGTGTGCCACCAACACCCGGCTGCCAACTTTCAATAGTGTGGGCTGAGCAGGTAACACAAAAAGACATTGGAGAAGAGGTGATGGTAAAGGCAGGAAAACCAGCCATGGCAACAAGAGCCTAGTGGCTTGAAGAGTCAAAGTTGACCAGTAAACCTCATTTGCCCAAGGACATGTAGCTGCCTGGAATGCTAGGCACTGTGGTTCTCAGGAATTAACAAGCCACATATTTTCACTCCCCTAAGTAAATTTGTTTGCATCTGATGTGCTTCATTGGATGTTGGCGAGAGGTATGTAGGCAGACAATAAGGCAGGATATATGCTTGCCTCTGAGGACCTGATGGAAAAATAGGTGGCCCTGTGGTTTTTTGCCTTTTTAATCCTCTGCAAAAAGTGACTGGTGGCCATTTCCTGGGAACCCTGAAATAGACCTGGCCAGAGTCCATCATTCTGGCCAGTATTTAACTAAAGCTTACTTCAAATTTGACTCAAAATTGTGGAACTGGTTTTTCTCTTGTCAGTCTCAGGTTTAACATGGTCAGCATGGAACACCTAAAAAGTGGCAAGCTGTTTGACAGCTGAAGGAGCAGCAGCAGAGAAGTTTCATGCTGGTCTGGAAAGGAGGACAGATGGAAGAACTAGATGGAAAGAGAGGACAGGGAGCTTGTTAGTTTCTGCCAGGGCAGCAGCCTGCCTCTACTGCCAAAGCAGCTATGTCATCACCTGTTGCCAGGGCCCTTTCCACCATCAGCTATGCTGACATGTGCACCCTTTAAAAATGCTGGCTGGGTAAAGTTCTCTCTTGTCTCCTCTTTCCTTTCTTGTTCCTTTTTACTGTCTTGCCTCTCTTGCTCCTCTCCTGTCTCTTTTCTTCCTCTGGTCTCTGACTGTCTGCCTGCCTCTCTCATATCCTCACACCGACATGGCCTTTCGCTGCCCCCCTCTCGCAATAAACCTCTTGTACTAACTGTTGCTTGTGGAACCAGGTACCACAAGATCAAGTTCTCAGCACAAAGGAAACTTATTTGCTCCAGAGGGACAAAGGGCAGGGAATAAGAAACAAAGACAGGAGACAGAGGATGATGGAGAAAGTGAAGGGAACAAGGGATGGGGGAGGGATATTTGCCATGGAGGGGCAAAGGACTACTTCTTGATAGAGGGGACAGGTATGGCCCATAGGCAAATGGCAGTTTGTTAGGATTAGTTGGTTTGTTTTGATTGGGCATGTTAATTAGGTGAACCAAAGGGGGCTTTTGATTGCTAGACTTTAATACTTTTGATAGCTGGACCTTGATAGTCACCCTCAGGAGGAGGAAGTAGCCAAATTAATAATTACTGTGGTGGCTAGCTTTAGGAATGTAACCTAACAGTGTAGCAAGGCAGAGGGAATGCAGTAAACTTAACAGTGGCACATAGTGATCAAGTGCGGTGGTAGTGCACTTGGCTAGCTTTAGGAATGTAACCTAACAGTGTAGCAAGGCAGAGGGAATGGGGGAAGGACAAGGCCTGTCAGAGCCATGCTCACCATGCTCGTCATGCCCAGGCCTACTGTGCCCTTCATGTATAAAAAATTGTTGACACCCCTCCTCCAGGATCTGCTCTTGCTCTTGTCTGCTCATTGCCCTTGTCTGCTCAGGAGACAGAGGCAGGCCGATCTCAGGTCAAGGCTAGCTTGGCCTACAGAGGGAGTTCCAGGACAGGCAGAGCTACACAGAGAAGCCCTGTCTCGAAAGACAATAACAAAAAGGCTATCACACAGCAGCATTAAAGAGCTTCTCCTTGTTGAAGAGTTTCTTGCTTACCATGGTTTCTGTCTGGAGAGAGCAAAAGGATGCCAGTCAACTGATACATTATTAATCCCACCCACCACTCGAGAATAAGACCACTACCACAGTTTAAAGCCAAATTTGAAGCAAACTTCAATTAAATATTGGCCAGGTAGATGTGATCCGGCCCGGTCCATACCTGGTTTCCCAGGAAATGGCCCAGAACCAAGTTTTACAAGGGCTTAAAATGTAACTTTGGCTCTCACAAAGTAACTTAAGTGTTATAGAGAACAGCCGTCTCCATGGTTGAGTAACCTCAACCGATCTTTGGGCACAGGGTGCACGTGTTATGGTTCACGCCTACCTCACCTGGCTGCCCCTATCCAACTCCCTTAACCATGTTTTGTTTTCTACAGCACTTGCTTCTTTCCACATAGTTTGCTTGGTTGTTTATGCTGTCTTTCTCCTACGACCAGATGTAGACCTCCCACAGTTAGGAATTTGTTCATCTGTGCCAGAATCCAGTTTGGGATGTATCAAGTGTGATGGGTTGTCTCAATTTAGGTACAACTTAATTTGTAGCCTTAATCCCCGATGAAAAATTGCTCCCAACTTGGTGAAAACAAGGGTAGATGAGGAACATAAACACCCCGTGAAAATCTAGACAGCTGCCTTGAAACGAAGCTTTAGTTCAGGGTCACTAGGTCTAAGTGAAGTCAGGTAGGTGGTAGGCAATAAATAGCCTACCTCTCTACCTCTCTCCACAGACCTGACCATTCTTTCCCACCTTCCGGGTGGGCGGGGCCGGAAGTAGAGCCGTTTCCGCCTGGAGCTGGGCGCTGGGTGCCGGGAGGGACGCGCGGAGATGACGCAAGCAGCACCGGAAGCCGCTCCCCTGTGAGGTTGCGGACCAGAGCAGCGGCCGCAGGTCCAGGTCTGTGTGGGCTCTGGGCCGGGCGGGATTGGGCAGGGATCCTGGGCGCCCGCGGCGTTGCTGACCCACCCCCTCGGCCTGTCTTCTCCCTCTCCCCGCAGGCGCCATGGCTGCGGAGCGGACCCGGCCGCTGCGACGCTCTGGCGGCCCGAGCGCGCCTAGTCGGTGTGAGCCCGGCGCGAGGTCCCGGGCCCCGGGGCGCTCGCTCAGGTCAGTGCCGCGCGGAACACGGCTCCGGGAGCAGGGGACCAAGGGAGTCATGAGCGGGCTGAGGGATTCGGAGTTCATTTTAGAAACAGGAAAATTAGATCTAAGAGTTCCTGCCTCGGTTTCCCTATCTGCGAAATGAATTAACATTGATGCCCCAAGGCTACCGTTTGATGAAAGATGAAGTGCGGACAGGTGGTTTGTAAAACACAGAACGTTGTAGAGCGTGTAGGAAGGCACCATACTTGTGGGTATACTTGAAAACAGGTGTGTATTCGGGATGCTGCTTAAAAAAAGGGGCCGAGATAACTGTATTCATACTACATAGTAATAGTAACTGGCATTTATTGTAGGTTTATAGTGTGCCAGATACTGTGCAGAACACTTTATCCTGTTTAATCCTCACAAACTCCAGTAGGTAAAACAGTACCAGGCTACAGTTTACAAGTGAGGAAATATGCTTGAATTACAGGAGATGATTTGCCCATTGGTTACCCAACAAGTGAAATTTCAGGGCCCGAGTTTTTATTTGAATTTTTTTCAAAGCTTTAAAAAAATAGCCCCCAAACTAGGGGCTTTTAGGCCATGGGTGGCTGTGGACTCTAGTAGTCTCAACACTCAGGCAGCTGAGGCAGGAGAATTGTGAATTGGACTCCAGCCTGGGCTGCATTGCAAAAGCCTGTCTCAAAAGACAAACAAAAAAAAATTAAAGCAATTTTCGAAATTCCTGGAGCAAAGAGAGGAAAATATTTTTAAAATAGTGTATTCACATGTTTTAAATACAAAAACCTTTATATTTAAAAGGGAGCTCCCTCATCCCTTTCCCTTGTCTTTCTCATTCTCCCTGGAAGTAACCTGTTTAATCAGTTTCCTGAATATTCACAAAATATTTTTATGTACATATAACCCTCAGTGTACACATGCACACATATTCAAAGCATCTGATTCTTTTTTCCTTTTCGGTTTTTTGAGACAGGACCTCTCTACATAGCTCTAGCTGCGCTGGAACTCCCTATGTAGACCAGGCTGGCCTTGAACTCAGAGATTTCCCTACATCTGTCTCTGCTTGGCCTGCCTCTGCTTAACTGGTTGTACTTGGTAGGAAAAGGGGGGTAAGGAGATAACCTTTCCAACAACAACAAATATCTACCTTTTATTCTTTAAAAAAAAATACATTTTTGTGTGTGGTGTGTATGTATGCTTGAGTTTGTGTGTGAGTGTGTAAGCCAAAGAACAATTTTACGGAGTCAGTTCTTGCCTTCTAACTTTACGTGGTGTCTTAGTTTGGTTTTTATTGCTGTGACCATGCTATTACCATGACCATTACAACTGTCATAAATGAATACCTTTAATGGAAGAGGCTCAGTTACAGTTTCAGAGGTTCAGTCCGTTGTCATGAGGAGGAGCATGGTAGAGTGCAGGCAAGAAGTTGACTGACTGTCACACTGAGGGAAACTTGAGCAGAAAAGACCTCAGAGCCTGCCCCCCCCCCCCCCCCACACACACACACACACACACACACACACACACACACACTTCCCCTCCAACAAGGCCACACCTCCTAATAGTACCCCTCCCTTTGGGGACCATCTTCTTTCAAACAACCACATTCCACTCCCTGGCCCCCAAGGTTTATAGCCATATATTAATGCAAAAATGCATTCAGTCCACCTCCCAATGTCCCCATAGTTTATAATAGACCCAAACATGTTTCAAAGTCTCTTCTCAGATGCATGGCAATCTCTTTACTGTAATCCCCTGTAGAATCAAAATCAGAAAACAGATCATATACTTACAACATATGGTGGCACAGGATATACATTTTCATCCCAAACACAGGGAAGGGAGCATAGTGAGGAAATACCAGACTAAAGAAAGACTGAAAACCAGCTGGGCAAACTCCAAACTCTGCATCTTCTTGTCTGATGTTAAAACACTTCAGATCTCCAACTCTGTTCATCTTTGTTGACTACAAGACACTTCTTTCTCTTGGGGTGGTTCCACACCCTGTTAGTAGCTCTCCTCTGCAGGTAACCCATGACTTTGGTGTCTATAACATTGTGGGTTCTCCAAGGCAATCCAGGCTTCAACTCCACAGCTTCACACAATAGCCTCTCTACTAGGCCCCCATTCAGGGACACCCTGACATGTACTTCTATAACTCCTTTTTTTCTATCCTTAACTCTATCAGAACCACATGGCCAACGCTGTCAGCTGTTAAGGTATGCTGCTTGCTGGGGCTGGAATATGGCCCCCTCATTCAGTTACATCTTCACTAGCTTTCTTTCTGTCTTTCACTGCCTAAGCTTGGCTATCATGAAACTTGGTCGGTAGACCAGACTGGCCTCAGATTCAGAGATCCTCCAGCCTTTGCCTTCCCAATGCTAGGATTAAAGGAGTGCCCCAGCACACCAGGCTCTTAATTCCTTTTACAAGTTAGAAATTTAGCGGGTGGTTGGGATCTTCCTCTGAGGTCACCAATTCATTTATTTCATTTATTAATCCATTTATCTCCTTAAACACAAAATTTAGCTTTATTCCACTTCCTGGAACTCTTTTTCTCAAATATTTTTCCTTGCTCAACTTGCTCCTTTTCATTATGTATTTTCATTAGAGTTAATACAAAACAAGCCTATACTAGGCTGTTTGAGATTTCTTCTGCCAATAGAATTAATCCAAAACTCTTCACTTTAGCTTCAGGCAGACTTTTCAGGGCAAAAAGCAGCCACTTTCTTGACCAAAATATCACAAGAGCAATCTCTAGGTAACAGACTAAATTTCTTCTCCACTGAAACCTCTTGAGTCAGCCCCCCACCCCCCATAATTCAAATAACTCTTAGCACCACTGTCTTCCATGCTCCTACTAGTATGACCCATTAAGCAGTATTTAAAGCATTCCATTGCTTTCCAAGCCCTAAGTACCAAAGTCCAAACTCTTCCAAACAAACACATGGTTAGGCCGATCACAGTAATATCCCACTCCCTGGTACCAACTTCTTAGTTTTTTTTTTTTATTGCTGTGAAGAAACACCATGATCATGAAAACATTTAGTAGAGGTGGGGGGCTCGCTTACAGTTTCAGAGGTTCAGTACATTATGGTGGAGTGCTGGCAGACATGCTGGAGTAGCTGAGAGTCATGCATCTTGTAGGCAACAGAAAATTGACTTGGCTGTCACACTCAGTGCCAAACCCCACAGTGACCCACTTCTTCCAACCTCCTAATTGTGCCCCTCCCTTTAGGGGCCATTTTCTTTCACACCACCACACATAGGTTTTGGGGATCAGGTCATTAGGTTTTGGAGCAAACCTTTTTACCCACTGAGCCTTGTCATGGCCTGAATCTTTTATTCCTTACTTGCACAGGTTATGGCAGAGTAGAAGGAGAGGAAATATTCAAACTTTGCACCCACAATGCTTTGCCTGTAAAACAATGCAGAGGTGGAAGTTTTTGCCTTGGGAGGTGGAGACTGGGTAATATTGAGCTGCTACTTCCTATATAACTCTGGACCATAGAGTTTTTGCTAGTAAGGGCAGTAGTACTTACATTTTCTGTGAACCGGCTAAAATCAAATGATACTCACAGGCCCTGCTTTAGTCATAAAGACCAGCGTAAATGTAATTGCTTAGAGGTATAGATCCAATTCAGGCTCCCATCTCCCACTTTAGGACTGTTTTCTAATACTACATGCTTCATCAGATCTTTGTGATTGTTTTCTGTTAAGGGCTGGAGAACAAGTTTGCATTGAGAAAGGTGAGAGGTGCATGATAGGGAGGGGTGTGCATAGAGAGGAGTGAGCACCTAGGAAGCAATTAGAACCTTGAGTCAGTAACTGCCTTTCATTATGAAATTAGTTTGCGTCCTTGAGTTTTTCTTCTAGATATGAAGGAAACTTGTGATAAGATTATAGGACTGACGTTAGTCTGTCATGTCCATTCCAGCCTCTGACTAAATAAAGGAGTCCTGCCAGGCATTTATAGTAATGGAACTAAAGGTACTGTTGGACATGTCTGCTTCATTTCTGATTCTCATGCTGCCGCAGTTGGGACAGTAGCTTCTGTTTTACAAACGGAAACATAGACATTAGTTGAGCATTCCCATGATCACATAGGAAGTGGCTGAATCAGCTTTAAAAACAAAACAAAACAAAACTGGCTGGTCTAGCCTTTTTCATTTATCCCACTCTCCTCAGTATCCATCGGTCCTGTCTCTTCACACTAATGGGAAACTCCATTCTGTAGTTAGCTGTTCCACTGCTGGAAGGAGTGTTGTGATGAATTAGAGCACCTCCTCCTGTTGAATTGAAATCCCATTTCCTGGGGCTTCCCTGGGGATCTTGTGCTGCCAGTGCATGGCATTATTCCTAGAGGCTATGTAAACAAGTTCAATTTAGACCTGTGGCTTTAAGGAACTTCCCCCCAAAATTAGTTGGTTCTTTTAGAAAAGTAAAAGTTGGTGAGTTTTAGTAGTATGCTCTGAGTAGTCAAATGATTTTAGACACATTTTGTGGCACACATCGGTCATTCTGGTACTCAAGGGGGGAAGGGCTCAGTGAAAATCCAAAGTTCAATAGCTACAGTGCCCACAGAAACTAATGGCTTAGTCTTGTAACTAATTATTCTTAAGGGTAGGGTTTTCTGGGTGTGTTGCAGAGGAATTGTGCTAGGGATCAGACAGAGGAAGCCTATTTTTTGAGATGAGTTGATGAGACCATGTGAATTGCTTATTTTTAGCAGATGAAGAACTGGGACTTTCAGATAAATGAGTATGTCCTGTAGACCCAGACCCCTTGACTTGGAGTAGTCTTCAGAAGCCCAAGCTGTTACCTGGAAAGGACTGATTGAAACATTCCATTGCTTTTACTAACACATAGCTTTGTGTCTGAAATGGTCTTGCCAAATTACATACTGGGAACTTGGTTTCTACTCACTTTTCATAACAAAGATGGATCTAAGTAACATGTCAGGAAAGAAATTTATTTTCTTCCAGATTGAACTTTTTTTTTTTTTTTTTTTTTTTTTTTTTTTTTTTTTTTTTTAATTTTTCACCCTGAGGAAGTTTCCGTTTTTTTGTGGGTTTTTTTTTTTTTTTTTTTTTTTTTTTTTTTTTTTTGGTTTTTCAAGACAGAGTTTCTCTGTGGCTTTGGAGGCTGTCCTGGAACTAGCTCTTGCAGACCAGGCTGGTCTCGATCTCACAGAGATCCATCTGCCTCTGCCTCCCGAGTGCTGGGATTAAAGGCACTCGCCACCAACGCCCGGCCTTTGTTGTTGTTGTTGTTTTTGTTTTTTAGATTTTATTTATTATGTATACATGTATATCTGCACACCAGAAGAGGGCACCAGATCTCATTCAAGGTGGTTGTGAGCCACTATGTGGTTGCTGGGAATTGAACTCAGGAACTCTGGAAGAGCAGTCGGTGCTCTTAACCTCTGAACCATCTCTCTAGCCCCCTATTTTTTTTTTAAATTAGGTGACAATCTCGTAAGAAATCAGAAGAACCCCCCATAAGCCGTGAAACTGTTACCCAATATTAAAATCAATACATAACAAATCTTTTTTAAAGTTAGTATTTTTTCTTTGCATTAGTTTAATTATCGTTATTATTAATTTTTTTTTATTTATTTTCTTTTCAAGATAGGGTTTCTCTTTATAGCCCTGGCTGTTTTGGAATCTGCTCTGTAGACCAGGCTGACCTCTAGTCACAGAGATCTCCCTGCCTCTGTCCCTTGCGTGCTGGGATTAAAGGTGGGTACCCCCACCTGGCTACTGTACTGATCTTGAAAGCACGGGCCTCTATTCTGTTCTGCCATTTCACTAGCTTTGTTAGCACAGGTGATTTACTTAGCTTCTTGCACCTATAAATTCTTCATTTGTAAAGTGTAAATGACACGTTTTTATGGTGAGTGTCAGGATGATTATTTTTTGCTTTGTGTGTTTGAACTGTGGTCTTGGTATATTGCCCAGCCTAGTCTCCAACTTAATGATCTCTTAGGGTAGCCTCTAAGTGGCTAGGATTGCATGCATGTTCCACTGTGCCCAGCACTATGGGAATTATTAATTTGCTTTATCTTGTAGGCTGCAAGGGCCCTCATGGTTCTCTAGGGAACATGGCAAGGCTTCTAAAGGAAACTGTAAGGCCTGTAGTAATCCATGTTCTGACAGGCAGTGCTGAGGGAGATGGCACACCGAAGACCCGCTGCACAAAGCTTATTACACGTTTATTTCTCCTTCACACCTTTTTGCTTCAGCATCTATTGTTTTTTTGTTTTTTGGTTTTGGTTTTTTTGTTTTGTTTTTTGTTTTTTGGTTTTTCGAGACAGGGTTTCTCTGTGGCTTTGGAGGCTGTCCTGGAACTAGCTCTTGTAGACCAGGCTGGCCTCGAACTCACAGAGATCCGCCTGCCTCTGCCTCCCGAGTGCTGGGATTAAAGGCGTCAGCATCTATTGTAAAACCAAGTCATTAATTTTGTGATTTTGGGTGGCAGATCAGGTTGTACCCTGGTACAAATCTCTGGTCACAGAGATTTGTTTTGTGTATGTTATATCCTGGTGCTATTATTGTAATTTTATTCCGAAATAAAGTGTATTTAGTAAGGAATTTAGTGAGGAAGCAGTTTTGTAATGGATTGGATGGAGGGTTGTATGCAGAGTAGAATACATTCTTATGAATGTTCTGTAAATCTTTGTTGGTGGCGATACGTATGACATCTATTAGACTTCAAAAGGAGCAAGTCACACTGACATAAGTTCCTCTGACCTTTATTATATCACGATTTGTTAAAATGTTTTCCTAGATGCATTTCCTTTTGTGTGTATGGAAACATTCAGTATAGTTTATTAACTATAAAGTAACTAAGCATAAAATTGTAATGCTACTTTTACACTAATTTTTAATACTTCATTTATTAGCAGTCTTGCTTGAACAATCTTTTTGAACAGAACTAATACAATATTTTGATGTGCCACAGGTAAATATTTCCATAACCTTATGGAGAGAAAGGACTTTGAGACATGGCTTGATAACATTTCTGTTACATTTCTTTCTCTGACGGACTTGCAGAAAAATGAAACTCTGGACCACCTGATTAGTCTGAGTGGGGCAGTCCAGCTCAGGCACCTCTCCAATAACCTGGAGACTCTCCTCAAGCGGGACTTCCTCAAACTCCTTCCCCTGGAGCTCAGTTTTTATTTGTTAAAATGGCTCGATCCTCAGACTTTACTCACATGCTGCCTGGTCTCTAAGCAGTGGAATAAGGTGATAAGTGCCTGTACAGAGGTGTGGCAGACTGCCTGTAAAAATTTGGGCTGGCAGATAGATGATTCTGTTCAGGACGCACTGCACTGGAAGAAGGTTTACTTGAAGGCTATCTTGAGGATGAAGCAGCTGGAGGACCATGAAGCCTTTGAGACCTCATCACTAATTGGACATAGTGCCAGAGTGTATGCACTTTACTACAGAGATGGACTTCTCTGCACAGGTAAGGGCCTGGGCAAGTGCCCAGGGTGGGGAAGCAGGGCTCCTCTCTCCTGACAAGACCGGTCTCTGTAAGCTTGCTCCCTCTTGAGAAGAGCAAGCGTTGGTATATGGGACATTTGTAGTGATGCTTTCCTCTGAGCACATGTCCCCACTCCTCATGCTCTTCTTCTCTTAGAGAAGAGTCTTTTTTTGGGGGGGGTACAAGACAGGGTTTCTCTGTGGCTTTGGAGACTACCTTGGAACTAGCTTTTGTAGACCAGGCTGGTCTCAAATTCACAGAGATCCCCCTGCCTCTGCCTCCCGAGTGCCGGGATTAAAGGCGTGTGGCCCACCGCCCGGCGAGAAGAGTCATTTTTATAGGGATTTATTAAGACCGTCTTTTAAGTGTAATGTGAATCAGAAAAGTGTAGGCTACTTCTTATACTTTTCTTCCATATTTATTAATTTTGTGTCTTATCTTTAGAAAAACATTTTAGGTTTGACAAGAACATTTTTAGATGAACTATTTAACCTGTATTTATTTCCTTGCCTTTAAAATAATGGGAAGGGACATGTTCCTTCCATACATCTGTTCGTTCGTTTGTTTGATTGGTTGGTTTTGTTTTGGGTTTTTTTCTTTTTTGTTTGTTTGTTTGTTTGGTTTTTTTGTTTTCTCAAGATAGGGTTTCTCTGTAGCTTTGGAAGCTGGCCTGAAATTCCATCTGTAGATCAGGCTGTCCTTGAACTCACAGAGATCTGCCTGCCTCTGCCTCCC